CGACAAGTTTATTGACATCGAGTCTCACCAACCAACGATTGCGCAAATGTAGCGATATTTTAACTACTCAACCACATTCATAGTCTTCGTTCGTATTTTAAAACACTTTGTACTGATCTGTACTGTCTATTCACTCAATAAATACTTTATAACAAGAAAAACATTGAACACAATGCACATACACGAGCAGCATTCGAGCCGCACCACGTCTTTTTACCTCCGCAAAACAAAGCGGAATAAAATAAAGTTGTAGCGCGCGGCCGAGTGAGCGTGACATCTCGCGAGCAGTCGCGGGCCGAGGTCGTCAAAATAAAAAGTAAATATCGACACCTGGTGGCTAGTAAACACAATGTTGATTCAAAACCGGATTTTTCCATCAGACATTTTCATAATATACACAATAGATGGCAGTATAAGAGCGAAGGCATTAAAAACGATAAATCAACAAAATAATGTTAAAACTACTTTAATATTTAAGGTTCTGACTACACCTTTGGTACATTTATAATTTTAATGTGTATTACAGTACACCTTACTAAACAGTAATTTTCCATGTTTCGCACAGGTAACATAAATGGTTCTAACAGAAGATAGATGTCACTAATAAAACACCATAGCAGTAAGGATCGATAGATGGCATCTATAATGGCGAAAGGTTCTTTAATGTTTATAAAAAACTATGATATAGGTGCCACTGTTTAAACGAGCAATGTGTTAGTTTTTTTTTGGAACGAAGTTCCTTATCGCGCGTTGTGAAAGGGGGCTAGACGGAAAAAATTCGTACGAAAATTTGGAACGACACTTTTAATATAAATTGACGTCTAACTGTGGATACCATACATTAAATTTGCTTTATGGTTCACCAACGTCCATACCATGTTGAATACATCGGTTCTCGTCCGATCACCGAAGTTAAGCAACATCTTGGATGGGTGACCGCCTGGGAATACCACGTGATGTTGGCTTTTTGCTCTTTATTTTCGTGTCATCTTGTCAGACTTTCAGCGCCATCTATCGAATAGATAGGAAATCATTTCGCAAGGAGATTTTACCAATGTATAAATTGTTTTAATTGTTTTTAATATATAGGTAATAGCCGCTTTCATAGATGGCGTTGTAATTAAAATCGTGTCAAATCAGTTTTACTCGATCGTCACACATACACACCCTGCTAGACTCGGCGCTACCTACAATAATCGCCGGCGACTTTAATGCGAAACACACGGCGTGGAACTCAAACATCATATGCCCAGAAGGCCGCCGCCTTCTAGATGATGCAGACCGCAACAAGTACCAGGTGCTAGGACCAGAGGTTCCGACACACTACCCGTACTGCGTAGCCCATACACCGGACGTCATAGATATAGCCGTCATCCGCGGCATCGACGCGGCTGTGTATCTTGACGTCCAGGACGATCACCTCATCTCAGACCACCAGCCGGTGTGTCTGACTCTAGATGACATCCCCCAAACTTTCCAACTATCTCCTCGTTCACGCCAAGACTGGCGGGTCTTCGCCGATTATATGGCAGAGCACTCGCCCTCCTTCCCAGTGGAGACACCCAACGACGTCGAAAAGCTAACGACGGATCTCAGCGCGGTCCTACAGACCGCGCTTCGAGAGTCGAAGCTCGATGCCACTACCGGAAGGAAGCCTTTCCAGCTCCCCGCCTACATCCTGGTGATCGAGAGGAAGAGGAGACTGCGCCGACAATGGCAGCGCGTCCGATGTCTGACCATGAAGTCCCAGCTCAATGCTCTGGCTGCGAGGGTCTCTGCCGCGCTGGCAACAAACGCGGCAGAGTCCTGGCAACGCACTATTGAGCGAGCTAGTGAAGATTGGTCGGGCATACACCGCCTGTGTCGCCAACTTTCCGGGAAACCAGCTCCGATTAGGCCCCTGATGGCCGGTGACGGCACCCCACGCTACCGTGCCGAGGACCGAGCGGAGATGTTCGCCGACTTCCTGGAAGCGCAGTTCCGACCGAATCCTGCCCACAATGTACAGCACGTGGCAGAGGTCGAGAGGAAGCTCGAGTTGTACTTTGAGCAGCCGATAGCCCCGACTGAGGACCCTGTCATCATCTCCCCTGGTCAAATCCAGCGGCTGATTCACCAAACGCCTCTTCGTAAAGCGCCCGGTCCCGACCGGGTTACCAATGAAGCCCTGCGTCACCTACCTCCGCGAGCAATCGCGACGCTGACGCGTCTCTTCAACGGCATCGTCCGCACCGGACACTTTCCCACCGCATGGCGACTTGGCAGAGTCATCATGCTGCCCAAGCCGGGGAAGAGTATCCTCTTACCGGGAAGCTATCGCCCCATTACTCTCCTCTCAACGACGTCGAAGTTGTTCGAGAAATTGCTACTGCTGCACATGACACCACACCTTCAGCCACGCGACGAACAGTTCGGATTTCGCGCCGAACACTCGACGACGCACCAGCTTGCGAGGGTACTGCATGACATCACGGTTGCACGCAACAAGCGCGAGCGGGTTGTAGCAGTCTTCCTCGATATGGAGAAGGCGTTCGACCGCGTCTGGCACGCCGGCCTGCTGTACAAGCTGTCCACATCTACTACTCCCCGCCGAGTAGTGAAGATTGTGGCCACCTTCCTGCAGGACAGACGCTTTCAAGTGGCAGTTGAAGACGCCTTGTCCACAGAGCGACCGATCTTTGCCGGTGTGCCGCAGGGAAGTTGCATGTCTCCCGTGTGCTACTCTTGGTACACAGACGATATCCCCGTTACCGACGGCGTGAAACTCGCGCTGTACGCCGACGACGCTGCCTACATCGTGACGTCACTAAAAGGTGCCAACGCTACTACCAAGATGCAGCGCACTCTAGACGCACTTCCCAGCTGGCTGAAGGACTGGAGACTGACGGTCAACGTGGCGAAGACTCAAGCGATCTCCATCGGAAGCGTGACCCTACCACAGCTGAAGCTCATGGGCCAGAATATCGAGTGGTCCGCGACGGTGAAATACCTCGGCGTAACCATCGACCGCACCCTCTCTATGAAGCCCCACGTCAAAAATGTCGTAGCCCAGGTTCGTGCCGCACGCTCCCTTCTGCGGCCCGTACTATCGTCCCGATTGCCGCTCCGTACTAAGCTCGGTGTGTACAAGGCGTACATTCGCACCCGACTCACGTATGGTGCTCCGGCCTGGTTCGCGCTCGTATCCGAAACGAACCTACGCCGGTTGCGTGCGCAACAGTCGCTCGCACTACGCACCCTTGCCAACGCCCCTCGCTTTGTGCGGAACAGGACGATATCCAGGGATCTGCGCGTGGAGAGCCTGGACGATTTCGTGAGACGCTTGAGCACAAACCTGTTCGTGCGTGCTGACGGCTCGCAAGCCCGCCACCTGCGGGAGCTTGCGCCCTATCATCGTCGACCGCCGGACAGGCATGGCCTGCCGCGAGACTTAGTCTCCGTGACAAACCCTACTGGATCAACCACAACACCCGACCTGATGCTGGCTGATGGGCGCTCCTCGGGGTCACCATCCCTCGGAGCTCGACCTCGCCAAGCACAGGGGGATACACTGGACGAAACCCGGGCGTAGCTAGTAAGCTGTTTGTCTGCGGGGCCCACCCGCACTGACTTGACCTCATTAGCCACGCTCCCCACCGGACTAATCACCCCCCGGAACTACCAACAGGCCCATCCGGGCCCAACCCAGTGACCCGCCTGTAGTGGCAGGCGGCGCGGAAAACCACTTAAACAGGCCGTGGCCTGGAGAAGTCACCCCGAGATCCTAGCTGGGGTCTACGAGAAGAACCTGAAGGGACTCGATCGTCACAACTTCGTTCCTATCGGGTGTCCCACGACACCACACGGCTTTTTTTACTTTAACTGTATTTAAACGAAAAACTCCACGAGATCAATACATTCACTGGTGTGGACACCAGGAGCCCGTGAACATACGTGGTACTTTGTATGGGGAATTTGAACAGAGATGTTTGTACATCTGTTAAACTGATAATATTTTAAATTTGATCTAATTCATTGCGCCTTTAGGCCGGGGTATCTAATTTATATGCGTTCCGGATAAAATTACATGTAGAAACTCAACTGCAGTCATCAGAAAAGATTTCTTGTTAACTGCCATCATACCCTCCATTGTCGGTGACGACAGAAGTCCTGGAAAGGATGTGGTTTACATCCAAGTTCTAAACGTAGCCTAATTATCAATATTACCAAATGGTGGCCTGACATTTTGATAACTTTAACTTTTCTGGTATGTTAAACAATTTCAGCTACATAAACCCTCTTTATTAAACACGTAACTAATTGAATTATAAAAATAAATGATGACATTGACGGGGAGGCATACTTTTTAGAGCTGACATTTTAAAGTTTGCACATATATATAAATGATTAATATTTCAAACTGTCACAAAGTAGATAATGGACACTGATACAACTATATTTACGGCAGGTTATTCCGCGTCAATTTTTTCCTAATTTGGTTTCCCTAATGGCTACAGCCCAAGACGTGCGAAGTCATAAAAATACATAGCTAGAAAATTACAAAACCTTAAAAAATTGCTCCTAGCAAGCACGTCATAAAATTCAAAAACAAAATAATTTTTAGTACTTAGCTTGTTTAGTAAACATGTTTAGTCCACTAGTTCCACCACTAGCGATGTTCGTACCTTTGACACGGACCGTCACTTCTCTAATGGTATTACTCTGTGCTGTCACTTTATTGACGTTTGATATTAAATACAAAGTCGTAGTCGCTAAAAACAGCTGTGATGTGAACGGATGATCATCAATCAGAATTATTTACAAATATAAATAATTTGTTGATTTTTGGATCCAATAAATTTCTCTAGTAATTATACTTTGTTCAATAAAGTGGTAAACACAGTACTCGTAACAAATTTAATTGGTGAAATGAGTCATTAATTAAAGTGTAATTTTGCCCTCGCATTGAATAGTCAAGGCTGCGGTAATAAAAGAACGTTATACTGATGTGATTTGTCATAATGGTGGAAGACAATGATCGTGGCTTTGGGAGGACTCCTACGAAGAGTACATTGTTGAAGATTGTGATACTTGGCGAAGGTGGAGTTGGAAAGTCATGTTTGATGAGCAGATTTATATCAAACCATTTTGATGATCATAGTTTTCACACTATTGGGGTCGAGTTTATGAACAAAACTGTTGAAGTGAATGGCAAGCAGTATACATTGCAGGTAACATTTAATTTTAAATGAGGCAAAACAGGTTTTACTAGTTTTTTTTTTGCATATTATTTATCTATGTTGGAATTAAAAAGCACAAATAATCTAAAGTAATATTTTTATTGTGTTTTACGTATGTAGGTAAATTTTTAATAGCACACATTAACAAACTTATTTTAATTGTAATAGCTTTCCTCATCCTTAATTTACTTCTACATTCAAAAAGTTTTTAGTGAAAAATGTTGATTTTGTTTATTTGTTACCAACACTTTTATGCTTATATCAATCATCATCGAAATTATTATGTTATGTTGGCTTTTTTGTACCTATACATGTTTGTTTTTATTTTGATAAAAATTTATTAATTCTTCCACTGAAGAATCTGCCTGGTCAACAATATTTTTTATTGTAGAGCATAGTATATAGTTTTGTTCCAGCCTAATGCTGTAAAGGCTATTGGCATGTGAGGGTATGCCATTGATGTGTGCCGTTTTTCTGTGTTCATTAGTTTTTAATCTAGTGTAGCCTCAGGTACTATCTAGTCCATAAAAATAAATAAAATTGAAGTGTCTGTTTGTAATGCCATAATAATAGGTTTTTTCATGCTGACTTGGTTATTTGCATAAAAACTAGTTTAAATATTTTTTGCCTGTCTTTCTGTCTCTTTGTTTCGGGTACTCTTTAAAACGGTTGATTTTGATAATATTTTAGTAATAGGTAGCCTTCTATATAAGGAGTAACTTAGGGTTTTTTTCGTCTCTCTCATGGACTGCAGTTGCATATTGCTAAGGCAGCACTATTCAAATTCCAAGCGAACAAGGTTCTGGGTACCAGCTAGTTTACCATATAAAATGTAATATACATGTTTCCATGAAACCACATTTAGAATATATTCTAAATATTCTTAATTTAAATGAAACCAATATATATATTGGTTTCATTTAAATTAAGAATATTTTATTAATAAGCCAGTAGCATAAATTAGTATTTTAAAATGGTGAGTTATTTGTATCTCTGGTATTAGGTCAATAAGAAAGACATTGGCATATGCCTCTAATAATATGATAAATTTTGGTTTTGTTTTAAAATGTAAATGATATGGTATAAGAAATAGGATTCCTAATATGATACATTTCTTTTTTACTAATATGTTGTAATTTTTTGCACATATTCTTTAAAATACCATTCTGATATTATTATCACAGTTTTTATATCTATGTCGCTACTTAGCATTCCTAGTATTCTCATTAACATATCCAACTAAACTGAATTTTGTGGTAATTTATTTCAAAGTTAATGAATACTCATGATAAGAAGTGACCTAAATGTAAAGCTTACATTAAAATTTAAATGTAATTTATTGCAAGAGCATATTCTAGAGATGTCTTTTTTTTTTTGAACATCTAATACACAACGCCATCTAGTTTCAAACTAAGCAGAGCATGTACTATGAAAGCTAGATTGACTGATACATAGAAATTATACATAGTAAACACCTACACTCCGATCTCTAATATTATAATGTATATCTCACATTGACCAAATGAAAGATCATGCAAACCTGTATAATACTTGAGCTACTTTAGTATCTCATTTATTAATTTGGTCGTTTGACATGTTTCTGCTGATCTGATCTGATAGAACACAAAGTCAACCCTGCCAAGCTTCTCTGTGGCACAATGTGGTAGCATTGATGAGAAATAAGAAACAAACCTATGTGAAACAGATAAAAACAATATTTGAAGCAGGTTTTGGATAAAATTTGAGTCAATTGTTGCAAAATTTTAGAGTTTTTTGAAGAGTACACAAACCAAGTTAACATTTTTAAATATATATATTTAATTACTTTCACCAAAATGTAATAAAAATAATCTACTGTCTCTGCTTACAAAATTATCAATGAGCACATGTACTCATTAACTATATACCTACACATATATTGTAAAGACACCCCATAAAATTTTACCAAGCTAAACATTCTGTTATGATCCCTACTTTTCGAGTAAAAGCAAATATTTTTTCATTTTTGAACTATTGAGATCTTAATGAATTTGTTCTTATTTTTTTTTAGCTGTGTTTGTGTTCAGTTATCTTTAAGTTAATTTAATTTTTCGTTAAAAATAAAACACTAGTCGTCTTATATTGCCTTTTTTATAGCCGGTTTTGGCCTGCTTCTTTTGTAACCGGCCGTCTACCTAACGCTAAGCCTCCTTGCGTATGAACTCGTTTTCTTACAAGACAAAGGACGAAAGTCAATGATGGTATTGTATATGTATGGTATATTTTAAAACGCAACGGGAGTAAAGTAACGGGTACCGTAACTCTCTAATATGCGAACGGGCCCGAGACTGCAGTAGCTGGAAAAAATGGGTGTCGAACCGGATCCAACCATAATCGTATGTCCGTCCTCTGATTGACGAAGCCATTAATATAAATATATAAACTTATGTTAATATATAAACCCCTGGAGTCGTTACAGTCGAGTGCTGCATCACATAGGTCATCGGTTAAAAAGAATAATTTATTCAGTGTATATATATCGAATAACAATAGACGATAAATAAATCTATCTCTATCTGTTATCGATCCTATTGTGTAGTAACTAGCGCCTTCTGAATGAAATCCAAATCTGTTCCGACCCTAACTAAAACTGTGGCACACGAAAAAAACATTTTCAACGACAATTTCCTTTGCCGCCGATTTACCGCTTAATTTTTTTTACAACGCACGCTATGGTCGCCTGAAGGACTCATTATATGAACGAAATTGTTAGTATGAGCTTTTGCCTGATTGTTAATCTCGTTTCCTGTGCTTGCTAAGAGTTAATGAGAATGATTGATGTTTATGATGACTACTCCGCTGGTCTCCGCTCCTATGTGTTGTGCATAATGAGACCTATTTCTTAGCATTCCATAGATTCACCGTGCGGGTGCCGGCTCCATCTTGTGATAGATTTTGGCCACACATGCAACTTCGACAGTGGCTGGGAATTGCGACCCAGGAACTGTCTAAGGAATATTCCTTGCGACCTGTCGGCGCTTACCTCCTCTGTCTGCCGTGTTACCACCTCCACCTAACCATATTTGATACGAGCCTAGCAATGCCGCTTTACCCCTTGCACATACTTCCACGGCATACAACGCAACGAATTAACCATTTTTAGTTATTTCGTTGGTTAAGTCAAAGTACTTGTTTAATGCTTAGTTGACATTGCATAAAGCAATATTCCAGTATTCTGTACCGTACGTACCTACTAATTTTTTTTGTAGAATCGTAGCCGTGACTCGTGTCCTGATATTTTTTTTTCTTTTGGAAGCGATCTAACGATTTTGTGATTTGGACAAGACATGCATTTTGGTAACTCTTAGGTGTTTGTAGAGTTCTGAAGGTCTTTTTAATTTCATTCCAAAGTTATACTAGTCCCTGTACAATGTCGACGAGCCACGACTTCAATGTCTAAGTGACCTTCACGTCCAGTGTTCTTAAGTGGTTCTGGTTTATATCGTATACCAGTAATGGCCAGTTGAGACGTGATGTTAAGTAGTTATCGTAAAGCCAAGATTTTTTTACGATAATTATTGGCTATTGGTCTACCTTATCAATGTCTTTTACGAAGTCATGGACTATTGCGTAACTTTTACATTAAACAGAGTATAAAATTATCTTTGGAAGTCAGTCAGGTATTCAACTTCATTGTCATTCCGTTCTAGATTCATGAATAGTTGATTTTTCTTGGGTGCTTAGCGATAGAAGCTATTTATCGTTTATCTTGGGTAAAAAAGTAGCAGTGCTCTTTGGTAAGCGGAGGCAATTTCATCTGAATTTGCCGACGTCGGTTTCTACTTACACATGTAAGTAGAAACCGACGTCGACGACGACGACGGCTTGTGCCTACTTGTACTTCTATAATATAAGTTTTTTTATTATTATTATTATATTAAGAGCCTGTTTAAATTATATTAGAAACTTTTTTTATCAAGTAACCTGCTCTGGGAGCTTAAACTTGTTTTCGTAAAACCTTTACAACAACTGACTTGTTTGCTTTTCTGATTTGTACTATAAAAATTTAAATATCTGAACGATTTTTGTCTTGTAAAAATACTAGGGTTAAAATATACCTACATACAATCGTATTTTATAATATTAAATGTTTTTTTTTATACTGGGTAACCTCTGTATAACGTTTTAAATACGGAAAAAATACGTAGGTTTATTGCATGGACTCATATCCACAATCGGTGACAATGTCTACTAAACTGTTTTTTTTTAGTTCTAAAAGACCAGTATTCTGAAAGAACAAGGTTGGCTTATTTGAATAGCGTTAAATAGAGACTGTCATGGTGATTTTTTAGATCATTTATATTAAATGCTCAATAACAGACCTCACTTGCCGACATAATGAAGACTTATTTACTACTCTTTTTTTTCTTTGTTTTTAAAAAGACAACTCCAGCACTAAGAATAAATCCTGTGTCGCGGGGGACTTTACAAACATTCATGAAATGCTCACACAGAACACCCAGACTCAGAGCACACAATGTGTTGTTCCATGTGAGGATCGAACCCACAACACTCAGCGCAGTAGGAAGCAGCAAAGTGACCGCTTAAACCACCACACCATCCATGCAGTCAATGTTGGCAGTTTCTCATCCGTATCCTATAATTTTCCTTAGTCTATTTTTTTTTGTTCCGCCTGATAATAATTAGGTATATTTCCGAAGAAGGGAAGGCTTTAGGGAGGCGGCCAGCTATAAAATAAGCCATCTAAAGCAACCAGATATTATCCCGAGGAGGTCAGAAAGATGATGATGAAATGTTATGCCGAATAACATATGCACAAAATGGATACAAAAATGTAGTGCTAATTGAAACTACATTTTTCTTATATTGCAATGAACACTTATAACCTTAAAACCAAGGTCATGTTATCTACAAAAAGGCTAGTTTGCTAGCATAACACTTAGTCAAAATGTCAATAAGCTTGTAGAGAATATATTTAATTTGAGAACTAAATATATTGTTTTCTATCATACAGCATAAGAAAAATTTGATCCATACATTCTATTCCTTTTGAAATTCGGGATCCTGTTTGCGCATTCTTAATATCGTCACGTCACATTAACTAACCTTTCAATCGCAGTCTTGTCTTTAAATATCTCTACTTCACTTAGATATAATTCTAATATAACTCCACGATAGTTCTGGAAATCCTGCAGTGACTATTTACCTATGTATATTGTGACAAAGTGAAAGTGTCATTATATTGTGGTCTGTATATGAAAACGCCAATCATAAATACCAATATGCTATACAAATTATAAAGATAGGAGTAGATCCTATCTGACGTTACACCATAGAGTTATCCAATTTAAACACTCAAAACTGCCACTCTTGTGTAGCATATGCTGGGAAATACTATTCCAAATAGCCCTTTTATTTACATTTAGAATTATAATAAAAATATACAGAACAAAATTCTTTACTTATCTAAAACTTTCTTTTTCTTACTGTTCATACGAAATATCGGTACTAAATGAGAACGCGATATATTAGTATTTCGCGTTGTCATTTACTGCATTAGCAATATAACGTTCGGAAAAAAGAAATAAAGACAAACGCGAAGCATTCCGTCCTTATTTTGACGACCGGATGTCGTAGTGGTTTGTGTAATCGACTGTCATTCCAATGATCGCGGGTTCAATTTCCGCTCAAGTCAAACATTTGTATATATTATGTATTTATATCAGTCGTCTAGTACCCGTAGTACAAGCTCTGCTTAGTTTGGGACCAAATGGCGTTGTGTGAATGTGGTAGAATATTATACATTATTATTATTCCTTTTTCATGTATAATGTAAGTCATTTATAAACGTTTCCTAATCGATTTACCTTAATTTAGTTAACTGTGTGACCTGAACAATTGGTTATAGAACAAAATAAAATTCGCCTTAATATAAATGATGATGATTAATTATAGTTTTTTATATGGAGAGACTTAGAACTTCGACAAAACTATTATCATACATGACATAGCCAGATATGCCGTGTGTATGTAGAGAACAATAATTGAGGAAAAAGGTTCTACGCCGGTGTTGCCCTCCATTGTCTTGATAGATTGCTGACTTGATGAAGCTTGTTTTCAATACGTGTCAAAAGTGCACAAAGTGCCCAATAACAGCGATAGATAAGACCCGTCTAGCCTACTGTATAGTACTGCCATTATTTACTGATACTTCCACTGTCTCGTAAGCAGTGGACCGTATGATTAACACGTAGTTCACATACGTTGGAGGACACGACTTTTTAGTGATCGATAATGCGGTATACTTTTGTATACCGACAAGTGTCACACACACACACACACACACATATACACAAACAAACGCATGCACTAAAATATAATGAATTAACTAATTAAATTATTTTATTTTGACTACATTTTTTGTGTCACGTTTCTCATAATGTAGATGTATACTTCTGTATCGCTAAGGAGAAAGCCAGGCGATTTGTCACGAACCTGTTACAAACTCCAGCTCTCACTAAGGTGTATGTATATTATATTTATTATAGTAACAAACTTACACTACACTAATGGGTAACAATTTCAGTAAGTTGACTTCAAATTTTTAAGGATCTACATAGAGGTACATTTACTTCGTTTAAAAGTCATTTTGAGTCCAAATTCAGTGGCATTACTGGAGACGAAAAATAACTTAGCAGGCAAATGAAAATATAGTCTTCGACTTCAACTGCATTTAACAATAAATTTCATCTGAAAAATAAATATCTTTCTAAAGATGCATAATTGAAAAGGGGGCCTTTCATTTCCTAAGTTAAAAAATTATATTATACTATAGTGCTTGTTACTTATTAAAAAAAGTGCTTGTTATTTATTTTTTATTAAGTCTAGCTCTTGTTGATGCTGAACTCTATAGTAACCCTAATATTATAAGTTTTATAGTTTCGATTAGGTTGTTAAAATTTTTGGGTCCATGACATGGTTTGAAAGTTGTTAATGCCCTCACTATCGCGAGTATGTCTAGGCACTAGTTGTGTACAGAGAGACTAGGACAAGGGTTATCTATATTTACTTCGAACTTGTTTTGAATTAGTTTAAATTTACCAAATCACGCAACGACAAGACTATTTTATATTTACCTATAGATTATTGTAGCTAATTTGAAATGGCCAGTGGCGTAACTAGGCGTGGGCGAAGTGGGCCGTCACCTATGGCCTCGCACTTAAGAGGGCCTCGCGAGGCTCCTTCAAATGCTATGCCCCCTGACTTTAATACAGATGACTAATTAATTCGATACCTAGAGCTGCTAGAGGCTGGAGTTAAACCCGTACTGGATGAGATCCAAAAGCTTTTCAACGCGGCCTTGTTTGAAAGGCTCGCATACTTTTTAAACCATTATAAGTAGGTATTTCGTGTCAAAGCATGTTCGGTAGGATAGGTCTATGGGTAGATCTTGGGAACGAAAGAAAAGGGACCTCCCTGGTGCGATTTCGCCCACGTCTATATTAGTCCACACTACGCCGCTGGAAATGGCTACTAGTGCACGACTAGAATTCCTGTATAAATCAACCCAATATCTGGCTGGTTAAAATAACACGGACGATTTCGTCCCACTTTGATCCATTACCCGCCTACAACATTCTAGAAATCAGGACTACTTAGAGCGTCCATGGTAGAATTGCACAAATATTTAGTATTAGCTGTTGCCCGCGGCTCTGCCTGCGTGTATGTCGGTATTCGCTGTAAAAAGCCTTTGTCCTTTCCAGGGACTCAACCTCTTTCTATACCAAATTTAATCTAAATCGGTTCAGCGGTTTTAGCGTGAAGAGGTAACAGACAGACAGACACAATCTCGCATTTATAATATTAGTTTGGATGGAAATATTTCGTGATTCTTAGCAAGTAACTGTGATGTAGACATAATGTATTTTCTACTAAGCCTTTAACTGATTTTGTTGTTCAGTTATTTGAAAATGCTATATCGCAGGATAGTCTATAGTTTTCTTAGTAAGGAAAATTCGTAATAAACAATTGCAGTTATAAATGAGTAGAATAGCTACTTATTTATATTATGGCCGGGTGATGACCCTGTCCTAGTGGCCTCTCCAATGATAGGACGGATGCAGCTTTTCCTTTTCTCTGTCCGAAAATGGTTGCATTAACAAAGAGGCTTGGTGTCGTACAGGCCAAAAAAGAAATAAGCCAAAACTCTGCTATACTTTGTGCCGACCCCAAATAACGGATAAATGGCAGTTATATGATGATAATATTTTTTTTACTGATACTGAATAAAAATATTCGAGAGCAGAATAAGTTTGGTAGCAATGATTTATCTTTTACACTTTAGTTGTTGTACAAATTGTTACTACCTGGTAAAAGTCTTAGTTACTTCAATACATTATTCTATTATTATATATATACCCACATGACTTGTTCTGTACTACAGTGAAACTTGGTTAAGTGGGACCTGGATAAGTGAGAAACCTTCATAGCTGGAACTCATGCTGAGGTCCCGACACTTAGGCACTGAATTACATCTGTTAGTAGGACATTGCAGACCTTTATATTTGGGATTCGTTTTTTTTATTTTATCGTGATAGTTGCTAACCATTCATAACTTAATAAGTTAGTACAGAAACACCCACCAATAACTTGAGGCTTTCATTGAAGGTCTAAGAGCACTTTAAGTACCTTGTTCTTTAATCAAACGCGGAAAAGCGTATTTTCAAGATAGTATTTTATAACAATAAAACCAACATAAAAAGAAAATGATTAGACGACAGAAAAAACTTGACGGCAATCACAAAATACGGTTGCCACCATTTCCACGTTCAATAAAAGATTGAAGAGAACATTGACCTTGTAGGTCAAGGTTCTATAATGTTCGAACTTATGTAACTTACATTTCTGCCTAAGACAGTTTGTACTTAAAATGATATATTCTCCAGGTGTGGGATACAGCCGGGCAGGAACGCTTCAAGTCCCTCCGGACTCCGTTCTACCGAGGCTCCGATATCTGCATCCTGGCCTATGCCATAGACGACCGCAGCTCTTTCACCAACATCAAGATGTGGCTCAACGAGTTCCTCCATTACGCGGGAGTTAAGAATGGCATTGAAAGATATCCGTTCATGGTTGTTGGAAATAAGGTATGTCATAGGCTTAATATACATATATACAGCCTTGGCCAAAAGTATTAGGCACCCTACATTTTACTTAAAATAAAGGAAAAAAACAACTTATACTTTTTGAATTGATTTATTACCATTAAATTACACAAAAAAGAATGAAAAAAACTTAAAATCTAGTCGGTCCACCTTTGGATTTAATTACTGCACTAATTATAGCTGGCATGCTGCGTACAAGTTAGTACAATCCTCCCTTGTAATGGCATGCCATTCTTGTACTAACGCATTTTTTAATGCCGTTTTCGATGTAATACTATGCTCTTTAATCTTGCGCTTCGAAATGCTCCAAAGATGTTCAATTGGGTTCAAATCTGGTGATTGCGCTGGCCAATCAAACAAGTCAATGTTGTTTTCAGTAAACCAACGCATCGTAGTCGCTGGCTTATGACAAGGTGCATTGTCTTGCTGGAATATAACTCCCTCTAAGTTGGTATCGCCGAAAATACTCGTTAGCGAAGGCATAAGCGCAGTTTTAGGCACTTTTATGTACTTTTCGCTGTTCATACGACCTTCGCAAACAAACATTTCGCCAACCCCATCAGTAACCATGCAGCCCCAGATCATTATGCTGCCTACTCCATGCTTTACTGATGGTACGACGCAATCTGGATGGTATTCTTCGCCCACACGTCGCCTCACGAAGGTCACAGGTCCAAATATCTGTTGAAAAAAGAAAAAAAAAACACTTTTTTAAACTGACTTAACTTTTATTATTTTAGTTAATAATTTTTAAATAAATTACGCGTCAATTTAATCACTATGTTAGAAATAAAAGCTTGTTTACTCGTTAGAGTCCTGAAAACAAGTGACCAAACATTGACTGATAAGAACGCATAAAAACAAATCCTTTGTTTTCAGTCACCAGCTGTTTTATGACCATAACAGATTTTTAGTTATTTGTGACCCCGGCATGCCATCTAAGATAAGCATTTATTGTTCAATCAGTAAACATGAATTGTGCAATCAGTAAACATGAATTGTGCATTTTTCTGGGGTGCCTAATACTTTTGGCCAAGGCTGTATATAAATATAGCTGTTTACCTCTTATGTCATAAAAATAAACAGGACAACAAAGGAATTGAAGACATTGAAGTAAAAAACAAATATGATGCGAAAACATCTGTTTAAAAAGATAAATGATAGCTATAGAATTATTCGAAAGAAAATAAAGAGTAGTCAGTCAAAGCCTGTAGGGTACGTCGCTAACGTGTAGATAGTCAATTGGGTTCGATGAGGAGATACGTGCTAATACTTAAGATCGAAAATGAACGGAATGTTTGATTGTTAGGTGAAGTTAGAGTTAATCTATAAGCCGAGGTCTTCGGTAGATTATGCTGGTTGATCGGTAGATCAGATCCGTTGTAAACCACGGCTTGCAGTATCGACGTATCCATTCTTAAATTCCAGGGCTACCTATTATTATTTCCTGGCATTTGCAACTCCTCTCAAGAACCGAAATTCTCAGACCAGTTTTTGATACTCTCCAAGTTACTGTCTACATTCTAGATTGCTTCTATTACGTTATTCAGTCTGGCCTAAGTGAATAAGTTTGAAGGTCGTCCACATACAAATATTACACACTGGTCGATACCAAGATCGAGCGTAATTAAATTGATAAACATCGTTAATAATAAAGGAGATAAAGTGTTACCTTGTGGCACGCCAGTGTCGAGGTCACACCGACTTGATGATGATTCATCAGTTTGGACTAAATGATGACGTCTACGAAGATAAGGAAAAAATAATTAAGTATCTCGGAGCAGACGGAGCGTAACGATATGGACTGAGGATATTATTCTGATGGTTGAAGGAGAGTTATTTTTGAGCACAAGCCTCAAGTATCTTGAATAGAAAAGGCTGTATTGATATGGGTCTGAAACTTTTCGGGAGATTAGGAGCTGGAAACTCCGGAGTCTAGGCAGAACTTAATTTAAACTTAAAACGGTGGATGTAATCGATCTGCTTTAGTGCTGTTATTTAAAAATTAGGGTACACTTAATAAGCACTCAATAAGCAAAGACAAAGTAATTGATTCACCATACATATTAGTAAAAAAAGTGAACTTGACTCGATTGCATTTATATAAAGGAGGGATAAGATATGGTTAAAATTATAATCGACGTCATAATCACATTATTCTTTTATCAGTCATACATAATTAGAACTCGATTATTGACTGTTTTTATCGTTAGCGTGGTAGGTAAAAAATAGACATTATGAACCCACTTATTACTTCACTTGGATAGTTTTAGTCCACTGCCACTGTTTGCCTTAGCTCAGTGCTTGTATTAAACATTGGTTAATGACCGACCGCTTTGTCGAGTACTGTTTGTCTGGTACCTATTTTATTGAATTTGATTGAACTAATTTTCTTTTTGTGTTGGACACTCCAGCTACCATGCAATAGAGGATACGATGAAGTTTTTTTATCAAAAGTCTCTCAATTCTTTATGTTAGAGATACTAGCACAAAAAAGTAGTGTGTGTGTGCAGAATATTTGCCTGAAACAGACATTACTCCCAAAAAGGGCATTGATTTCTTGTGCCCAGGTCGCACTGTGAGAAAGAGAAGAATAAAAGAAATGGTGTACGTGACTAGAAAATTTCATTATTAACAAAATTTAAGAGCTTTTCGACTTCTATATACAACGAAAACATCCTTCAATGCCGTATAACAAAGACACTGAGCTAGGGGATAACTCCTGCGTCCCGCTATGAAAGTTCTCAATCCGCTTGCTATATAATGATATATATAATCCCTGCCTAATAATAGTATAAATGCGAAAGTAACTCTGTCTGTCTGTCTGTTACACTTTTACGGCTACAGATAATATACTTAACAGATTTGAATGAAATTGGCATGGAGATACTTTGATTCTTAAGAAAAGACAGAGAACTTTTCACCGCGATAACCGACAGGCACGCGGGCGGAGCCACGGGCAAAAGCTAGGTATATATATGTTCCGACATCAACCTTGATTTTTCCTTTTTGTCGGTGAGGCATAACTCCCACTCAGACCCATTACTCCAGAACGTATTCTAATTCCTTTTATCAAACTATATAATGATGACTTACCCCTTCTGCAGTAAAATACATATTGAATTTTTTGTATATTTCAGTCCGACGTACCATCAAAAGATAGAGAAGTGACGTATGACCAGTTAAAGCAGTGGTGTGAGGACAACAAGATAGCGACATACATTGAAACCTCTGCCAAAAACGATAATAACGTTGTCGAGGCTTTCTCGATGGCTGTGCAGAGGTAAGTAACAGCTACTTATTCTATTTGGCACGAACATAGACATTATCTCCGAAACTACTAGTATGATTTGACTATAGGTTAAGTATATGAGTTAGACAATAACACAGATTAAGTCCGTTAAGAAAATTTAGAATTATCTTAAAAAAAATTACGAATTTTAGTGAAGATACAAGAAATTAATAAATATAGTAATGTCACAACTATGGGTCTTAGCAATGCTCAAATTCGTAAACCATAACATCATAACTATTTATAATATATTTAGAGAGATAACGCTTCATTACACCATGCGACAGTATAAAATATATCTTGAAATCGCATGCGTAATCTGATATGTACCTTATACCTTTGTGTTACATAGCTTTTTACAATGATTGCACGATTGCAATGATTTTACGAGGGCGTAGTATGGCAAACAATAGTGCTCATTTTTAACGGTTTACATCTAAATAAATTCTTTAAGTTATCTTAAAACGGGCATTTTTGTTAAGATGCGATCTTACTTACAAATTTGACGTTGTATTCATGAATATAGTACAAGACAAAGATTGATCTACATTCATTGAAAATTACATAGATAATGTACTTACATAGTATTATAATTTGTCACTTGCTTTTAACGACAAAGGAACGGAAAAGCGAACAATAAACGAAAATTATATTTACAGCTAAGAACAGTATAATAACGCTTTTAATATAGGTCGCGTTTGTTTTGTTTGTGGCGTGATTTGGGTCACCACATTTCCAACCCCATTGTGGTGACTCTTAAAATGTCGCTATGAAGTTATTACTACTCCAATTAATACACACGAGTCATGTTTGAGAATGTAATATATAAAATACTATCCAATAACCTCGACTTATGTTAATACAGATTTTGACAATTATTTTGTGTATCCACCAAAAACAGTACTTACAGTTTTCGCAATAAAAGATTTTTTTTCGTTTGTATACCTCCACCGGAAGACCGGTGGGGGTATTTGGTTGGAGGATTAGGGTTATGTCGGACTCGAACTGACTAATACCCGTTCGCTGTCTCGGGTATTAGTAGGTGGGGCACCCGGTGTAACCCAGAAAGGAAATCCCTAGAAAGTCATTTATTTGTAAACACTTTTTTAACGATGTTTCCATATCCTTGAAGAGGTTTATGCAAAATTTTCTTGTTTATCGGTTTAGTAGTTAAGGTCCGTGTGGTGACGGATTAAGAATACGGAGTTTTACCACCCCTATTCACCCCGCAGGTGTCGTAAGCACCGACTAAGGAGCATACTTTACAGGACAACAGCATTGCAAAGACAAGGAAAACTTGAAACGGACCCTATACCAACTGGTCTTGCCAGCGTAAATTATATGGTGGTATAATAATAGGCATAAACCTCATTTCTAAGTACCTAGAAGCCTATGTCCAGCAGCTATTAAAGGCTGTTGATGATAAATTAAGGTGTAAAATAATCAAATAAAGAAACAATCTCACTATCTCATTTATAATATCAGTTTGAATAACAATACTTAATTATACAAAAACGAAAAATTACCTTATACTTATTTATGCATTTACGCGAACTCAAGTCCTTATTGTTTAGAAACGAGTTTAGTGATGCTTATATGTGGAAAACATGGTAAAATAGATTGTATTCAGTAAAACATTACAATTATACATATGTAGATGTATATACGATTGTTTTAATGTGTTTATTTATAACTTTATAGTACTGACTATTTGAGGAAAATGTGACACAGACATGTTATGTTTATTTAGACATGACAATTGGCGGTTTTATCGCTCTCGGTGATTGCCATTAGACAACCTTTATACGGCAATTGACAAATATAAATCCGGATAGACTGTTAAATAATCATAGCTTATGCCCGCGGCTCTGCCCGCGTGTATGTAGGTTATCTTAGTAAATAGTAGCCTATGTCGTATCTCAACAATCAAACAATCTCCATAATTTCCAATAATATATTTTCATATATAATATATTTATATTTATTCAATAATTTTCTTTCTTCATCACTTTCATCTAAATCGGTCCAGTGGTTAAAGCGTGAAGAGGTGACAGACTGAAAGACAGACAGACACTTTCGCATTTATAATATTAAAATGGATTTATTTCTATTTCATACCCAACTTATGAAATATAAAGTTATCCGCACATCATAAAATTGGCCATACACGCAGGGCTACGTACTTCGTATAAAAGAAAAACTTTTTCTCGAGCGAAGAAACTTGCAAAAGTACATATCTAAAATATATAACTTATATATCATCATCATCAACAGCCTTTACTAGTCCACTGCTGGACATAGACCTCTCCTTAGAAAGGAGGTTATATATATATACACCTCATATTACATGTAGATACTTAAATATATCTAAATAAACACATCAAATTAAATGATGCCGATGAATTGATTGTCGACGAATCTATAAGGATTCTGTGATATTGCCGTAAGATTTATTTAATTTACGTAACAATTGATGTAGGTTTGTACATCCTTCGTCTATACAAACTTTGACTTGTACAACTTGCTGCGTAAGCCATAGATTTGTTAAAAACAATTAAAATATCTTGTACTTGCAACTACTAGGGAGTTTAATATTCATTACTGCGTATATATACTTCTTGCAACCTCTTATCTGTAGGAAACCCTTGAATTGTTTGAATTGAGATTTAACTACCTTAAAAATTGTAAATCTCCTTAACTATTTCTTTCACCTTGTATACATTCAAGTAATTAGGTGACAGTACCAACCTTGTTACCAATTTTAGTCTTATAAAGCATTATTATCAATTCATAAATTACATCGAGTTTTTTTATGGCTTGGGAGCAAACGAGCAGACGGGTCACCCGATGGTAGGTGTCTACCGTCGCCCATGGTCACCTACAACACAACAGTCTTAAGTAGAGCCCCCCACAGAACCAAAGGGGGCTTCACCCTCCGTCGAAGTTAATTGCTCGTATTAGGATTGGTTCATGACTATAGTGTACTGGGTGGGGTACTAACCCGCAACTACTTGACCACAAGTTTGACGGCTACATTTCATTATCATCACCATCTTTGTCTTTCTAGATGGTTGGAATTAGAACAAAGAGCTGAAAAGGAACTGGGCAGACTGGACCATCCTGACACTGTGACCCTCCACGGCTCCTCAACAGCATCCAATATAAGAGCCACGTGTTGTTCACGGTTCACCGAAACATGAAGCTGTGAGGTAGAACGGTGATAATTTCCTTAAAAATATATGATGGCCGAGGGATTTATGACCTGAGGGCCTAGTATGAGTTTATTTCATATCAACTCGCTTTCGACGACAAGCGTGTTGCTATTGGACCAGTCGCAACGCCGAACGCGGACACTGTGACGACCTAGTCGACGTGAAATACGCTCACACTAGGCCCTCTGAGGGCTGAGTGCAAGTTTATTTCACATCGACTCGCTCTCGATAGCGAGCGTGTTTAGCGTTGCGATTGGTGAGGATTTCAGTGCGGGCCAATCGTAGCGCCGTCCGCGGTCACCGTGACGATCGAGTAGAAGTGAAATACACTCACACTAGGCCCTCTGATGTTATTTTATATAGTTTTATTAAGACTTCCTACATTTATATCGTTAAACTAGGGTACAGGTCTCGCTAGTGTAATACACAGGGTTAGAAGTCTCAATCCATTTATTTGAAAGTCTAAATAAAAATGCTTTTAGGCAAGCTAGCTTGAAACATTGCCGTAAGTATCATCTCTAGTATTTTAATATTTTAGTATGCCTTGAGTAATTATAGTAAAAATATTTAATTAGATAAATATATTTTTAGTCTATAAAAATATTAAAAACCTAATTTGTGATGGCTTTTTTATCTGATAGTAAAAATATATTATTCTGAAGCGTAGTATTTCCATTTTAAATATTCATTTTATTCAACTCGATTTCTAGAAAATTTGTAAACTTAATTTAATGTAGATTAGTTTTGCACATAAAATTTTATACCATAAAATCATTTTAAGATCGATTTTTAGATAAAATGTTTTTCTTTTTTTAACATGTAACAGATTTGGTTGTCAGATGTGGTTGTGTAAAAGTATTATATAAAAGTGTTCATAAAACAAACTTAAATGTAAGAGGCATATTACAAGAAATCTTAACTACTCTTGTAACTTACTGTTAAATCGCGCTCCATAATATATAATCACAGGTTGTGGTCACAGGCCGACTATGACCATGGCCAGTGCAACCTGGTCGAAACGACAATTCAAAGGCATGTATCTATCGCGAGTGCGGCAATTCCCATAAATATAATTAGATACTCTTGTTAGTTCTAAACACTATAAAGTATATTTTTATTTACTTAAAAAAATATAGTTATTCAAAACGCAGGTTCGATAGACAAAACTATTAATTGAAATGCGAAGTGACTGACTGACTGAGGCTCATAGCTCAGTGCTTCGTTACTAAGGGTCGTGACTTATTGCTCTGCTCTTAAGAGTCGTAGCTCACCGCTCCGCTCCTGAGGCTCATAGCTCAGTGCTTCGTTACTAAGGGTCGTGACTCATTGTTCCGGTCTTAAGACTCGTAGCTCACCGCTCCGCTCCTGAGTCTCATAGCTCAGTGCTTCGTTACTAAGGGTCGTGACTTATTGCTCCGGTCTTAAGAGTCGTAGCTCACCGCTCCGCTCCTGAGTCTCATAGCTCAGTGCTTCGTTACTAAGGGTCGTGACTTATTGCTCCGGTCTTAAGAGTCGTAGCTCACCGCTCCGCTCCTGAGTCTCATAGCTCAGTGCTTCGTTACTAAGGGTCGTGACTCATTGCTCTGGTCTTAAGAGTAGTAGCTCAGCGCTCCGCTCCTGAGGCTCATAGCTCAGTGCTTCGTTACAAAGGGTCGTGACTCATTGCTCCGGTCTTAAGAGTCATAGCTCAGCGCTCCGCTCCTGAGGCTCATAGCTCAGTGCTTCGTTACTAAGGGTCGCGACTCATTGCTCCGGTCTTAAGAGTCGTAGCTCACCGCTCCGCTCCTGAGGCTCATAGCTCAGTGCTTCGTTACTAATGGTCGTGACTCATTGCTCCGGTCTTAAAGAGTCGTAGCTCACCGCTCCGCTCTTGAGGCTCATAGCTCAGTGCTTCGTTACTAAGGGTCGTGACTCATTGTTCCGGTCTTAAGAGTCGTAGCTCACCGCTCCGCTCCTGAGTCTCATAGCTCAGTGCTTCGTTACTAAGGGTCGTGACTCATTGCTCCGGTCTTAAGAGTCATAGCTCAGCGCTCCGCTCCTGAGGCTCATAGCTCAGTGCTTCGTTACTAAGGGTCGCGACTCATTGCTCCGGTCTTAAGAGTCGTAGCTCACCGCTCCGCTCTTGAGGCTCATAGCTCAGTGCTTCGTTACTAAGGGTCGTGACTCATTGCTCCGCTCTTAAGCATCATTGCCCACTGCACCGCTCTTAAGAGTAGTAACGAAAGTATAGGCACATACCCCTACATCTTCCAAAAGAACTCGACTGGCAGGTCCAAATTATTTCTCTTTCAACAAAAAAGTCAACTTTACTAAGTTTCTCGTAATAAGCCTCGTACAAAAATGGCTAGTCTCCATGAGTGAAATAAAATATAAAGCGTATGAACATTCCAACAGTGTTATTAATTTTAAGTTATATTTTGTCTCGATTCCTTCCACTAGGATTTTACACAATGCACATAATATATTATGTATAACATTAACAACTAATATACATATATGTCTATGTCTACTGTATGTATACGGATGCAGACTGCTCAAGACCAGGATAGTTGGGGCATGTAAAATGATTGCTATATGGATTAAACCTTAAAACATACGAGTACAAGTCGTTACAGATATAGATTTCTATGTTAAAGTTACGATTTTTCCTCAGAAATCAGTTAGCTAGCTAAAAGTTAGCAGCTATCCTGTGTACAATGAAGTGTCCATAATGATGTTGTTATATAAAATATAAATAATGTAATGTATATATTTAAACATACCAAAGATCTATTTAATTATATTGAAAACACAATTATGTATAATATTGATTGTATTATATTTAAGATCAAATAAAACGTAAACGTATGGTAAAATTCGGGCTATTGTATATAAAAATACCTCATATAGGCTTTGTAATAGGTATTTGTTTTCTTTTTAAACAATATTGCACTTACGCTCTTACTCTTTTGAAAGTATATAGAAATTGAGTTTCCATACATAGTGTACACTGTTGGACATTTACAAACACGTAACACTACACAATGCTAGATCCAAACTAAACAGAGCTTGTACTGTACTGTTTATTGGTGGCGGAATACAAATAGACAGATACAGATAACAGAGTAGGAATTGAACCCTCAACAGTAGACGTGAGAGTCAAATGTACTCCTGTTTTGTAGACTTTTATTTATGTCGTGAGCTTATAAAAAGAGGATTTTTAAACTTTATATAGTCACAGTAAACGATACTAAAATTATTACTAATTAATGAGAATTACCGCAATTCATTATTCAAGAATACAGACTGTCACCACCCCTATTCATCCCCTGTGTGTCGTAAGAGCCGACATAGGGAGCAAACTACGCAGGACAACAGCGCTGCAAAGAGAAGGAAAATTTGACACAAACTCTATAGATCACCTCTATAGACCAACCCGTCTGGCCGGTGTGGCATAGTAAGCCAAAAACCTCCTCTCCAAGCTTATGTCCAGCAGTGTACTATTAAAGACTGTTGATGATGATGATGATGATGAATAAGTACCTAAACCTTTTAATTATCTGACATTTCGAACAGCAGTGCTATTCTCTAAGGAAACAGCCTTGCGTACAGCGTACTTTGTGCTATAATATTCTTAATATTATTATTAAAAATGCTACGTACTTATATGTATTAATTTTGTATAGTACGAGTAGTGTATGGTATTTAATACAATATGAACTAAATAATTAAATACTGCTTATAATATCCTTACTATATTTCTACATAAATAGTATTTTTTTTTTAAATCTTTTCTTGCTATGTTACATTCACCAACAAATATTTTAACTATATTACAATTTTGGGCACATAACTTGCATATCCAAATTTAATCCGAGCTGAATGTCACTATTTTTGTGATATTTTAACAACCTATACCTGTTATCTCAACAACTATGTACCTAAATATAAAGAAAGTATTGTAAATAATACCATTAGTGTTCATATTATTTTAATATACATATTATATCTGAATGTTTTAATGGTTGTGTATCTAAGAAATTATATTTTAGTAGTATTTTGCATTTTAAAAAACAAATTATAAAAGTTTCTTCACTCGTTAAATATCTTTTTACACTCAAATATGTTTTTTTTTGAGAAATAGGTCATTAGGGTCATTAGAATTCAAATGTTACTGGTTCAGAAATTGTTTATTTCTGGTATAAAAAAGTAAAAAATGATTCAATCGATATTTGACATTAATGTTACATTTTAAATTTTCGCGCGTAAGTATTGAGGAATAGAAAGTACGCCATTTGTTGATTGGTCATTACGTCGCGCATCGTGTTTAGCGTAAATGATTGCTAATTTGCTATTATAAATGAATTACTATCCTTATTATAGAGATAAAACAATAGGTTGCTATATTAAAATGTGATTTCTGTTCAACAAAATATAGATTTATGGGTAATAAATCCTGGACTAAAAATAAATACGGGGAAGAAAAAATTAAAACAAAATTCACGATTTTCTCAGTTGTATTTTGGTTTGTTGAACATATACAAAACCGAAAACTTAGTTAATTACTAATAAATTTAATAATTAATAAACTGAAATGAATAAAAATAATAATAATTTGTCTAAAATGAGACTCCAAATACAAAGCACTGTAAGAAAAACCTTCTAAGATCAAATAAACTATTATTATTATAATATATTCCGATTTCCCAAGTAAATAAATATGTGTAAATAGTTAAATACCCTATTGTAGTGTGTACATTAGCAGGTATAAATAAGTAGTCATAATGCAAAAATTTCACAAGTGCCTGTTCATGGTTACCAAGATTAACGGTAACTAGACATTACCTGGTGGCCGAAATTCGATCATAATTAGTAACATTGCAGCTTTTTGTAGTATTTTTCGCATAATTTTTAAAAATTATAGCACGTATTGATTACTTAAACAGTCTAGCTTTGTGCACGTTTTCTAAATATAAAATTTGAGTATGTTTCCTAAATTCACATTAAAATATAAAAAGGGCAGATAATTCTCTTCACGTACTAATATAGATAACCTGTAAAAGCAATTTCTGGATGTTTTTTTACAGTTTCTTTAGTCTAAAAGAAGCCCAATATAACTATAGTTGAAGTTAGAACAGAACCTTTTTTGTTCTCCATATATAGATTTTCTTAATCTCAATGTTTAGATTAGTACTAGTAAATGCATTATTTACATTTTTAGAATAATTTATTACCAATTTAATCCTGGTAGATAGCGAACGTGTGTTATTTATATTGCCGTTTTCAACTCTACCTCGTTAGTTTTATAAGGCCTGTAATTTTAACTTCATGGGTTCATGCACTAGCTCCTTTTTATTATATTTAATATATTGTAATAAACTTAAATGAACTTTTTTTTTAAACAAACTGTAGCTAGTGTGTGGAAACACTTAGCCTTTTTTAAATAAACAGATTTCGAAAAAAAATATGTCAAAAAGATTAAAAGCTTCAGGGTTTAAACTCATGGTCATATAATAAAGATTTATAAAATAAAACTTCATGGTTTGTTTTTATTTACATATTTTACTCCAACAGGCCGCGGATTTTACCCTCTTAATTAATTGTTTTATGATGTTATGTTTTGATTTTTTAAATAATTTATACATTATCCGATTTTATTGAAAACATTATCACTCATTACCATGTTAATACAGAGAAAAAAATATTACCAATTCTTTTAAAAAAGATTTACAAACAGAGGCATTTGAAGCTTACTATAGTCGTCCTCAGTTCGTTGCTTCTAACCTTACAAGCACTTTCTCGAACAGTAGAATTCTTTATTTAATGCAATAGAGATGGTTGTCAGTCCTCGAAATGTAAATTCATGAACGGTACCTAAGAATCGAGAGAAGGCTTTGCCCACCGTTTGCGGATAGGGCAGCTATTAGGTGTAACTGTTTATTAGCGCGTGGTCAACGTACAATCAATGCATTTCAGGCGGAGACATTCGGGTGCGGTGTAGGAGCGGCGTCGAATAAGTGTGCCTTGTTTCGTGACATGCTTCAAATAAAAATTAAATTGGCTCGGAAGACCTATGTTTCGAAACATTTGGGCCGACTGAGTGATACCACAACCTCACAAAAGAAACGGTGTTAAGCAATCTTTTCGTAACATTTCACCTAGTTAGTTGGTTATTATGGGGAGTGTTCCCTTAATTCTGGAACGGACGTATTCAAAGACCAGTACCGTAGTTGAGACTGGTGAGTGTGAGTTGCAGGTAATCCGTATGCCCGTTTTGCACCCGATACAATAAAAATATTTTATATAAGAGGACTTGTAAATAAGAAACTTAAACCCATTTTATAACTTTAATAAATAACATAGAAACATTCATTACATCAATGTAGTCGAGGGTCTTTTGAGATTACCATCACAATATATATTATGCGTTGTACCAACAACCACCTATTAATAACTATCAAACTACTGGCAACACTACAAAACATATTATGCCGTCAATCCAAGGGTTGCCATGGAATGACTTAATAAGAACAATATATCGTAGCGACAATGCAGCATGTATGTATAATGTATATAATTATAGCCCGATGTTTTTTTAACAATTTTTTAAACAATAGATTCTATAAAAAACGTATACTTGAAACTGTTTTTGACGAGGTTAACATTGGCTAAGTTAACACATACTTTTAATGGATACTGATGTGACTAAAAAGAATTACATAATTTATAATTGGTATAAATTTTTGGAAGATAAAGTAACAGATTTAGTAGACTTGGTGTTATGAAGGCTTCAAGTTACTGCGGTTGATATGAGGATTTTGCTCCAAAGAATAACCTTGATCTAGAATCTACTCTAGATCAAGATTATTCTTTAGCAAAGAATTAATAGATAAATACGTCCTTAAACGGCAAATATACGCTAAAGTATAAAACTGATTGTCCATTCAAACATTTAATTTAGGGTTACCCTGAAAGTTTTAATAGAAAAACTTTATTACAGATCTATATTTTGTACTCCTTTCTTTTAAACATACAGAGTATCTAGTGAATATAGGCCTCGACATTAGATCCAGGCATACTTTGACAGACTACCTCACCTAATTCGCACTATTGCTTACGCTAGCCTATTCCAGTAATCGACAGCACTCAGCGAAGTTCATAGGGGCTTTCTGGCCTTGATGAGCTCTTCGCTCACTTCCCACAGTTTGGCCTCTACATCTCTGTCGAACTCGTATTTAGGCATTACTTCCTCGCAGTTACGGAAGAATTTTCCTGATTTACCTTCGATGGTGTAGTCGGAAGCGCAGAATACTACAGTTTCGGAGCCCTGGAATATAATAAAGCTATTTTATTTTTCTTCATTATATTTCGTCGTTCTGACTTAAACATCTCTCTATCATTGATTTTAACAAAGAGCGACCGAAGTTCCGTTGCCTAAAACCTTTAAAATAAAAAATTTAATATCCACCAGTGGCGTCTTTCACACACAGCGAAACAAAGAAACACTACATCGCCATTTAACGAAGGCACACCGAACTACGGCATAACTGCTAATCCTGACTTGCGATTAGTAATTCGCACGTTCCTAACATTAACTGTTGGGCTGCGGCCCGCCAGTTATGTTTACCTCGCCTGGTCGGAGGATGCCTCCTTTGTTTTATAGGGACATAACACCTTTATTGCACTAATTTTTCGCTTCAATTGAGCTATATACTTGCCAAACCATTATCTTTTCATTCTACATAAAAGCTTAGATGGTTATATACATACACTTACGGATGTATCTTTTTCTTGTTTTTGATTCGCAAAACGCCTGCCTTAGACCAATAGGCTTGCCTTTTATAAGGTGAGTTAAAATCAAATAATACTTCACAAAATGTGGGTTTTAAGTAAGCTCTCTTTATACCCCTTCGTGAGAGTTGTGGATTCGATCCCCACATGGAACAACACTTTGTAAGATCTACAAATTGTTGTTCTGAGTCTGGGTGATCTTTGTGTTTGTTACATGTATGTTTATAAAGTCCCCCGCAACACAGGATATAATCCTAGTGAAGGAGTTGTCTTTAAAAAAAGAGTTTATTAAAAAGTATCAAAGTTACCGCGACATAAAGTATGTAGTGTTGATGTATATAAATCGTAATCAATATCGGTAACTAACTTTGGTGACCCCCACGACCCTCTGACTGATTGTGCAACGATGTTACTTTTAAAACATGCATTGATAAAAGCGTAATCAATTGTTCTATTCATTCTGACAGAATCTAAGTCATTAAAATATTTTAAAATGTAAATATGAACTTGTGTTTCAATTATTTTGTTTATTACTGTTTTTTTTATAAGAGGAGACGCACAAGAAACGCTGTATTATAAAAAAGGGTGAGGAACAGAAAATACGATATAAAATAAATTGAATTACATATTACGTATACACTTATAATTTAGTCGTTACTCTAGGTACGTTACGGTGTGTCGGAATCGGACCGACTAAAACAGGCGTCCGACAGATCAAGACCAACCTCGCTTAAGTGCCGGACGATGCGGGTTGAGAGTACCCTCTCAAACAATTTACCTGCCTTGTCCAGCAGCACAATGGGCTTGTAGGCCGCGACCAAATCGGCAGGCCGTCTCGGCTTCCTCAACGGGACTAGCTTTCCGCTCTTTCAGCACTCAAGGAAACGTCCGGACACCAATCTAGCGTCAAACACCTCCCCAAGGCGGTTTGACATATGGTCGAGGGCTAGGGCCGACTGCGGGTGTAGGACCTCCGGGCACGAGTACAGGCCACGCTGAGGTCTGCCAACGATTGGGACCACCAGTAAACCTTCTTCCTTGGAGGATGACGACCTCGGATGCTGAGCATGGCCAGATCGCAGATCTGCGTAATCGCATCGCGAAAGAAACCAGCTCCCATGTCGGCCTCCTCGGTCGGGGCCCGCGGAGACAGCCATGAATGAATGATGTCTACCTCCTCTAGTAGGTCTCTGTTCAGTTAGGCAACAGACCACAGGGGTAAGAACGCCGCGTGAACCGTACTGGGGTCCTGGTTCCGGGTGAGCTCAAATCGGATATATAGGTGATCCGAGAGCGTCTCAACCTCTTCCAGAACACGTCAGTTCCTCACTCGTGCAGGGCAGGGGTAGCGAACGAAAGGTCCACTATGCTGCTGCTGTCGCACGCATGTGTTGGTGGAGCCTCTATTAAGAAGACAGAGGCCTAGTGAGGCTGCCCATTCCTTTACGGCTTCGCCCCTTGCGTCCGTCCTGGGAGAACCCTACGCAATGGATATTGCGTTAGAGTCCCTCAGCACAAGGACGCGCCCAGACGCTTGTCGACGCAACGAGGTCTCCAAGCTGTTTAGGAAAACCTCGAAGTCGCTCAAACTCCGGTTGGGGGAGAAGAGGAGAGGCCTGTCCTGAGTCGAAATTGTGTGCTGAAAGTGTAGGTCCGTAAATAGTTGCCAGGAGTGTTATTTTATGTATATTCATTTAACGAGTAAAGCTGATATACTAAGTACCTACTTATTTGTGCATTAAAAAACCGCCTCGGTACTATGCATTGACATCTTCTCAGTTTCTTAGCGTAAGAATAAAGCAGAATTAGCCTATAACAGTTAACTCACTTGTTTTGGAGTTTTCATGAAGAATAACATCACAGGTGCCATCAGGAAGTAGTGATACCATCTTATGGAATGCCTGTTAATAGTAGTTAATATATTAAAAACAGTAAAAGAAAAAAACAGTATAGAAAGAAGGTAAAACGAATATAATACCTAAAGAGACCGGTAGCGCAGAATCCAGGACAGCAGGCGTTGACGTCAACCCCACCATTCTTCAGTTTGTGCGCAAGGGCCCTCGCGAAATAAACATTCATTAGCTTGGAGTTGCAATAGCCAGCATTGTGACGTCCGCTGCCGTTTTTCTTTGCGAGTTCAATTTCCTTTCTTAAGTTTAAGTCGTCAAAGTCGATTTTACCGCGCTCGTGAAGTGTTGAAGAGACAATGACTATTCTGTAATTGTATCAAACGATAAGAACGCTTAAGCTGTGTTGTCAACAGGAGGAAATAGACTGGAATGAAATCTAGGAAGATTTCATTGAAAACTCGCCAATTAAAAATGGTTTTCATTAATACTTAGAGCATCATTTCATACATTTATTTGTTATCCAATTCAAGTTTACAAATCAAGCTTTGGACAAGCGGAAAAGGGGTTATTATAACTCAGCACACAGCAACTCCTCTCATTTTGTTGTGTATATTCCGACATGTTTAATTGCTCTAAAATATAAATGCAGTAAAAACGCATAAAATAACAGGTAAGCAGATAGAACAATAGAATATAATTTAGGACTGTTTCAAAACCTTGCATTATAATGTGTTTGGGAACCTGTTTGTGAATATATTATGTGTATGATGCCAAGGACAATTGAGAGACGTTTAATTAAATACAGGTAAAACAGTCCAAGTTAGCTCGTAACTTTACGCAGATAGGCGACCATGTATTTATTTTTTATGGCAGAAAAAAACAGATTTTACTGCTCGATTTCAGCAGTTATTTTCATTTATTTGTCTATGATGTGTTTTTATTTTAAGACGTATACGCGTCTATAATTATAGTATTTCTCTTTATAGTCCACCTAAAACATTTGAACAGTCAGTTCAAAAAATTTATAGGAATAGTCTTACTGATCTTGTCATCATGAGTTTGTTTGCTCTTTCTTCTCATAGGGCTCAACCACTTGGAAACGGTATATCATAGATTATGTATAAGATTGTTTTTTTTTCCAATTTCACAAAATATTCGTATACTAGTATATTCCTAAGACAGACATGGCTGGGCTTATTTTAATAAGTAGATTGTTTTTTCAATATCCTTTCAGGCCTTGCGATCTGACGTCGAATGGGTCGACATAGAAAACTAGATTACTGCTGACCGATTTTTATGTTACTAAGTATGACGTGGACCTATCCTTGATCTAGTAATATATTTATATAACATCTGTGTTTCAAGTGCTTGACAGTGAATCCATTTGTATATTATTTTTATCTAATACACTCAGAACACAGTGAAGTATTTAATAAAATGTGATCTTAAAGTTTTTGGCGGCAGTTTATGTTTTTTTAAGAGAGTGAATAGAATTTTTTAGTTTTAATGTTTACGTCATTTAGATATTTATTTAAAGTTATTTAAAGAATAAACGAATTCAATTTGAATTTAAACAATGTAGTATTTTATTTTACTGTATTACGGATGCATGCAATTTCAACATATTAATGTTTCTTTAAGGTCGGAGGTCGGAAGCAAAGCCGGAGGTCGCGGGTTCGATTCCCTCCTAAGACAAATAATTGGGTGCTGAGCACGATCATTTGTTTTGTGTCTGGGTGTAATTTACTCATTATATGTACGTATTTAGAAATGTTAAAGTATGTTTGCCTAGGTTGGGATCAGACGGCCGGGTTCGGATCACCTAAATAATAAAAACTTTACACATCTCTAAGTTTTTATTATTTATGTGATATGCCTATCAATAAATACTGATTTTCATTCAAAATACACAGTTCTAAGCACATGTATTAAAAAGTAGTAAGTAGAAGAAAGAAGTATTTAAACTAAAAATATCGTATCGTACATCCAAATATAGCTCCACAAACATTTGCCTGTTACACACCCAATGTGTTAACGTAATAGCGCCACATGACCGCAGATTTGTGTGTTTAGAAACATTTATAAAGTAACTGTATACACGCACCTATATTTTTGAACAGACTTGACAACCTGTACTAAATACATTGTAAATAACCTACACCTGGACAACACAGATCATGTTCATCACACAATTATTTTTCTTGAGTCGGAATCGAGTCCACGACCTCTAAGATCAACTAAGGTTAGAATCACTAACTAGATCAACAAGTCCTTATTTATAAAACACTAGCTGACCCGCGCAACTTCGTCTGCGTCTCTCAATAGTAATAATTTTTCTCCGTTTTTGAAACATTCTTCATTGGTGCTCCGCTCCTATTGCTCTTAGCGTGATGATATATAGCCTATAGCCTTCCTCAATAAATGGGCTATCTAACACTTAAAAGAATTTTTCAAATCGGACCAGTAGTTCCTGAGATTAGCGCGTTCAAACAAACAAACTCTTCAGCTTTATAATATTAGTATAGATTAATTATACTACAGAATAAGAAAATATGAATTAATTAGATACTATTACGTCTATGAATATCATCATCATCATCAACAGCCTTTAGTAGTCCACTGCTGGACATGACCTCTCCTTAGACAGGAAGTTACGGGCCTACTATACCACGCTGGTCAAACGGGTTTGTTTCAAGTTTTCCTTCTCTTTGCAGTGCTGTTGTCCTGAATCGCTTGCACCCTAAATCGATCTTAGACAACACCCACGCGTTGAATAGGGTTGGTGACACTCCGTATTTTTAAACCGTCACCACATACATAACGTCTGTGAATATTTCATCGAAAATATAGTTTTGTTAATTTTATTATTAAAATACGAAATCCATACGAAAATAAAAAAAGAGGTTATCCTCTTTTTTTATTTTCGTATGGAAATCCACTCGGACAACCTCCACCTTTGTCGGACTCGAACCGACTAAAAATCGCACGCCGTCTTGGGTACCGGTAGCCGGGAACCAGGGGTAAGCTAGAAAGGAAATCCCTTGTATCTCTACAAACTTTAATATATCCCGACAAACTTTAATAACTCTATGCAATTTTGTTGCTGGTGATGTACCTAACTAACCTAGATAGAATTAAGTACACGGACTCACGTATGCTATTAGTCAAGGCTATGAGTTACCTACATATATGAGTGACATCATGTTACGAAATTATGGCTAAATAAATTTATTACGGCATATTGAATGAAACTATAGGGCAGCATTTATATTAAAACGCCTAAAATATACATGCATATTTTTAGAGAATCATTCAAAGAATGTAACACAATACCTTAAGGCCATGTGCATTGACGGACATTGAGCGTGCATTTTTTTTTTATGGAATATGAGTTCTTGCTTTTTGATTTGACGCGACTTGATCATGTTCAAGTAGTTCACATGCTAACGACGCTAAACAGTTCATACATAGTTCTTTGGGATTATTGGTTTTTCGTACAATATGGATTCGACTATTTAAGTAACAGCCCGAATACCATTTTTCACGCAGCAGGACTTCGGTGACACTTTATTTAAAATAATCCCGAATTTTATTCGAAAAACTATTTTAATTTCTGTTTTCCATTTTCATCAGAAACAGGACTCGAACTAAACGCTCGCTATGTGTACAAAATTGAACGCGCGTTTGACGCGCGGCCTACGCTCTTTGAACATAGTCTTATTCTTACCTACCTATTACATTACTACCTTAAATACTTACTCGTACTATAACCTATAACCTATTTCAACATACCTGCTTGGCGTAGCCTTTCTTAATAGGTCTAATAACAGAGTGGTAAGGTAGAAATGGCCGAGATGATTAACACCAAAGTGTATTTCGAAGCCCTCCTTGGTTTTCTGATCATAATACAAGGGCACAACAACACCAGCATTGTTGATTAGCACGTCGATTTTGTTGAAGCCGGCCTTAACAACTTCTACAAAATTCTCGATAGATTCAAAGGATGCTAGGTCCAATTGCATGGGGATCTGAAAAAAATCCTTTATTAGGTAACATTTTTTTAAGTAAGCTGCAATGGTTTTTCTAAATGACTTCTGACAGAAGAGATATTGGAGATATCTCTTACATATTAAAAATAAGATCTAATGCAATTGATTGCGCCACCGACATTATACATATATGAAACCGTTACATGTCCCTCAATGTTCCACAATATAGACAGAATTCCTTTATTCCGCGAGCAAGCAATGCCTTTAATGCGACCGCAAAAGTTTTATCTTTACATAGTATAAAATAAAGTCGCTTTTTGTGTTGTACGTTTAGATCTTTTAAACTAAGAAACGGATTTTAATGCGGTTTTCCCCAATAGAGTGAGTGATTCAAGAGGATGGTTTATATCGATAATACATGCATATTATAGTATAGAAAATACGAGAATATCAAAGTTTTGTCGTAAAAAATATGTGGGCTTATTGCTGGCTAAACCTTACGAGACAGACCAAAATAATGTTTTACGGAATTAAAAATATCTCCATTTTTATCTCATAAATATTACAAAAAACAATGGTTTATTTACGAAGCTATTTTAAACAATACTTTACTATTGCTTTTCCAATTAAATACTTTGTATATTTAATGTAGATCAAAATTGCTTTTCACAGCATATCATTAAAATGAATATTTTAGAAGATATTAGAGGTTTAAAATGCGGGGGCCCAACGACCGTGGAGCCGTACATCTGTCCCGGGTGACAGCGGCCGTCAGGATCGGAGCGGGCTTATAAATATTGCAAGATGTCCTGTGGTATAGTATCATAATAATAGTATAATTAATTACTCTATACTGACACCACATTAGTAGTATCTACTCGTGCATTGCACCGGTACGAAGCCGGGGCGGAATAAATAAATATTTTTTTCTTCGTAGAAATATTTAGATTGTCGTATTTTGTAGTAAGTTGATTGTTCAAACTCCAATTGGTAAAGGTAGTAATTCGTTTTTAATGTAAATAGTTAAGGATAAAAATGTATAGCATCAAAAATATAAATGATTAAGTATGTTGTAGTTAACAGGTAATTAGGAAGTTAGTTTCGTACTTAACATTTTGGCGCTACGGGCAAAAATAAAATATGAAAGAACAATTAAACCAAAATATAGCGTTTATTAACATGGAAAGCATTACAAAACAATAAGCATTTTCTAATTACTTATTGAATTCATTTATTTATTTTTGTTAGCATAACACCTTTGTTCAAAAGACATATCGCGTCTCCACCACCGCTCTACATCTAATTAATAAAATTGTGTTAATGATGGCATAATAACAGTAGCCCTAGAGGGGATTTCGGGATTTACTCGACCATGGCAGATTAACATAAGGAGGATTACCTTACACCCAGTTGAGTACCTCCACCACACATGAGCCCTACGTATAGGCGAAAGCGTCTAGGGCAGCTCATCAGATTAGTTAAAAATTAAAATTGGTGGCCAGAAATACCCGAACGTGTAAGATTAAGGTAAGTTGAGTCAATTACATACACATTAGTGTGTATTTAAAAAACCAGTCGATTTGAGCGTGACATAAAGCAGTGGGAAGATCACAAATACCCTGCATAATTATCGTCAGATTTTTGGCTAGTATGAGTATAACACCGAGCTGAACCGTCTATGTAAAATCTAACACTCTCGGGTATTTCGAAATGGCGATTTTTCGAATTTTCATTTCCATGTTTGCATTTTCCATAATTCACTACGATCTTGTGTCACTTTAAAATCGTCAGACCTTTCAAAGGGAGAATTTTTGGCATCCAAATAACATATCCCCAAAATATCTGATGCGCCCAAAAAAAATTATTTCGATTTCCTCCCCTTCCAATTTTGAAAACCTGCAGAAGCTTTTCCCACCACAGAAAGTCGAAACATTATATAACTAATATTCATTCTATTACCTAATCTTTCAAATGCAATAGATCCCCATGGTGCTCGAGTTAGCATCATGGGCTCCCCTGCGGTAACGATGTCGACGGCAGAAAAAGCTTTATAATGTGTATATTGTATATTCTTTTTCACACCAGAGACAATTTAAAGAATTTATAACTTGTAAAGTTTCTGGTATAAGAATTAGAAGTGTAACACAATGTGAGGTAATCTGTCACCCTAGCAGAAGCAAGCAGAAGCGCGTCTCGCCTACACCTCGTGTAGGCGAGACGCGCTGCGGAGCACGCGCGCCCCTTTGGAAGCACAAAGGGAACAGGGGGGTTCCTACATAAGAGAGGGGCATCTACACGCCGTAGATGACCCGTGGTACGTACAGGGATTTCCTTTCTAGGGTACACCTGGTTTCCTGGCTACTGGTACGGTGGAGTGGCCACTCCACCGGTGGGTGGTAGCCGAGGGGATTACCGCACAGGAAAAAAAGGTGAATCAAGCCTTACATATTCATACACATACATTACAAACATTTCATTTTATTGAGATGTAACCATTCATTAAAACAAAATAATTAATTATAATTATTTAAAAGTAGGTAAATAGGTAAATTATTTAAGAGAAGGTACTGTGGGTTGATTAGGTGTGAAATGAAATCGAAGCTCATTGCTTACAAATATTAGGTAGTTAAAGTTCATAAAGAGACTTCAATTCAAGAAACTAGACTGGCGCCGCCAGCGACCTAATACCGTCAATTCTTTTTATTGGTGACAGCGCGGAAATCCCTTCAGATCTCTGGCTCGTGGCAATGCAGGACAGGCACTCAGACGCTTGGTCTGGTAACTAAGATTTTGGCGAGCACCTGGACCATGTCATTTTATGGTATCCAGAATCGACGCTGCGCCTCTCTAGGTCCTATCCCGAGGGCAGCTGCAAGCTTCCCACGACAATCAGGCCGATCCCGTTCAGCGGTCTCTTTCCGAAGCATTACAGCTTCACAGAAAGAGCCCACTGCACAACAGCCCTCTTCATCCGCCAGCACTGCATTTCTAATGAAGACATATCTCGTCCGATTCGATCAACTGTCACAGACACAGTCCAGTCCTCCAGCGTATACTGGTCAGAATTCCAGTCGGCTCCATAGTGCTGACATTGTGCTATCTCTTCACATACAATCCGATTCAGGTACTCACTGAAGCATCCGTGCCAGTGAGTACCTGCATTAATCGGTAGGGAACATAATCTACCCATGTTCTCCTTTGGCTCTAAGGTAACTAACCTCACCCACTAAGAGTGAGTTTGTAAAATATATGTATGATATAAAAGAGAGAGTTCTAGATATTGAAAATTACCATCAACTACTTTTTACAGACTTTGAGATAAGAGTTTTAAGTGTTTAAGATAATAGTGATAACCCGTTCAGTTTCCTCGACTGACATTGTTAATAAGATAAAAAAAAATCATACATAACATAATAGCAAACATATTATAAGGAACCTGTAACAATTACTTAATTAAAAAAGTATATAATTTAATTCTGTTTGTAACACATTGACTTTTGTGTTTTTGTTCACATTACGTATATAATATTATTAACATAAAATTAAGACTATTTTATTATTGTTCTATTGCTGTAGAATTTTAATTATGGGAATATTTTAATATTTAAATTAACAATGGTGATAAATAATCAGATAAAACATCAACTTTTACGTCATTGTCTACTGCTGTGATCTTCTCATAATGTTTGAGACAATTTTTTTATTTCAAGTTTTTAGTAATGATATCTAATAAATACCTAAACCTCATAACAGACACTATCTTATTCAAAATAAAACTATTTGTTTTTTATAATTTGTAAGCTACCATTTAAACATTTCTTTTTCTAATTAGGTATTTTGATACCTTAATTGGCAAACAATATATAATTGTTGTATAAATGTTTTTTTAGATAGCTTATCAACCTTTTCTATCTCTCTATAATGTTTAAAATTGTGAAGTGCAGGAGCTCTATACCTTATTAACCAACTTCAGAAAAGGAGGAGGTTCTCAATTCAACTGTTTCTTTTTTTTGTAAATATGTTTGGCTGGGACCCCATGATACAGGCTTGCCTAGTGTGGTGACCGCATTATATATTTATCTGATAAGATCTGCTACACTTATTTTATGTATTATTAAACACTTTTGTATTCTATTTTCTTTGATTCTAAATAAATATTTTTTATTTTTGCAATTATTTCTTTGAGAACTGGGATACAGGTTAACCCATTAATAGTTATTTCTTGTAGTTTTTCATTCAAACATTCCAGTGTAACCCTGTCAAAGTATCACACGCTGCTAAGGCATGTAATGCCTATTAATCATGTTAATGCCGTATATAATGATTATAAATTAGAGGATGTGAAACTTCTAACTATTAAAATCTATTGACTATATTTTTATATTCCCTTTTGATTATAATACTACAGTGATTTTAGAACTAGCTAGTTTAAAGTAAAAAACAATTGATAAAAGTAAAAATTGGTCAAAATTGACACTCTTTATTTGAAAGTAGAATTTAGACTTTTTGAAAACAAGTATATTTATAAACCAGAATTTCCAGGATTCAACACTTGATTTATGTATAAGAGATATTTAAGTTACATTATTAATTATGTATGTGTCTAAAAGTTTGAATATGTTTTATTTTATGTTTTAAAGTTAATACAAAAATATTAAAAACTTTACAATAATACTTTAATGATATTAGTTAACATAAAATTATTTACCAACTACATAGTAAGTCAACTATTAAGTTTACATTAACATACTTTAATCAATTTCAGAAAATTCTGTATCTATAATATTAATTTTAAAAATGCAAAATTTTTAACAAGTAATATTGCAGTTTAAAATTATCACTGAGAGATTTCAATAAATAAGCAGTACATTAACTTAATATATAATACTCACCATCTCCCCTCCGTTGGGCTGTTCTCTTCTGATTGCCGCGATACATTCCTTTGCTTTAGCAATATCTCTGCAAGCAAAAATAACTCGACCCTTTCTTTTAACAAGAGCTTTGGCAGTTTCCAGGCCTATACCACTATTGGCTCCTGTAATGAGAAAGGTCTTCCCCCTCAAACATGTGTTGCAGACACATTTAGCCCAGCTCCTGGACCTCCATTTACGAATTAACCCTATTGCTACTAAAACCGAAATAGGCACCGCCGCATACATAATGGTTGGGGACACCATCCTTAGTAATTTTTCAGGTACGCAATAACACTATAACTTTGTAACAAAAAGTATTGGAAAAATATTTAAATTATTTTACGTTTTAATCGTTAAGAAGAATTTAAGCCATCTGAACCTGTGTGTGTTTCGCTAGAACGTAACGTATGTCATAATAATGTCATTTGGTCAAAGGTTGCAGACTTGTTGCGTTCAGAAATTTTGCAATGTTATAATTTGTTTGACATTCTCAATAGTAGACAGGTTAAAGCCGAAGATATCGGAGTTACAGTCATTGTTGTTGATGTATAAGCATAATTTATTGTAAATCAGTTACAGAGAATATTAAACTGGTTAAAAAATCTACTACTTTAGAAAGACACTCGAAACTACTAACTACTAACTTGACCCGTATTTAATTTAAGCCCAAAATGTAATTGTTTTTCCGCCAATTTCTTATGTGGTAAAGCAAGAAACAGGAGTCTCTCTTCATCCAAAATGTATCTACTGGGTATTAGCATCAATGCTAAAGGTATTTTATTATTGTTTTAAAAATCAAATTCAAGTTCCCATTTTCAGAATTTGGGTTCTTTTTGTAGACTTGATATTTTCTGTTAAAAATCGAGGTGCTAAATAAAATAACTGAACCGTTGGATCTAACCATTTGGATGTCATTGAGGAAAACGCCTGTTGTAGCTTTAGCAGATGCGTTGAAGGCTGCGCGTAACGTGTGGTAAACTTGACTCTTAGATAACACCGTGATGAGGTATAAAGTAACTTATTTCACGATGAGAGTCCATAGGTAGGCTTTCATATTTAGACATAACATCTAAATACATAACTATGATCGAATTTCTGATCGCGTCTAAAACGCCGCTCTCGACTATAGAGCAGAGATTCAAAAAACTAGTCGATACTTGGAGTCGAAATCGGTTTTCCAGGGGTCGACATAAACGAAAAATGATTTTAGGGTCGACGAGGTCTAGAAAACGAGTTTTGAGATAAGAAATGATGTCAAGTTTACTCACTTCACCAATGGCAAAGTTTTGAGTTCCTAAGTATTTTGTATCAATAGGAAAAAAACTAGACATGATTTTTAAAGTAATTTGGCTTTTTGGCTTTCCCAATATTTCTCACTTTGGAAAAGGGGTGTCTTGCCCAAAATAGTTTGGGAATCAAAGTGCTAGAATCGGACTTTAAAAGGCATAGTCATACATAACGACCGTATTTTTTTTGTAGCGTTAATCGACACACATGTGCTTATCAGAGCTTAGCAGAAAAAGAGAACGAGTAGTAGGTCGTATCATATAAGTATTTGCTGAAAGAGTTACACTTTCAAATGTTGTGTTTTAGTTGTCTAAATGTGAAATTAAGTATTCTGCTAACTGAACAATATTTATAATGTGAAAACTTGCATCGTTTTTCAACATGTCCAAACACAATCAGTTCAAACACACATTATACTTTTTGATTGCCAGAACAAATTTTTACTTGTAGAGTTTTTCGATGACGTAGCTTTTAGATTTATTATATTCCAGTTTATCCAGTAGGCCCCGCGCGCCTATCGTTGAGGGGCCCGTTGACAGTAGTATCTATATTATTTCGAAAAAAAACAATAATTATAAAAACCGCCAGTGACTGGACATTACTAGTGGACACGTATGAAAATCATTGAAAAAATGTTGTATAGAAGTATCGGTGATATTGGTTAGGTATACCACAAAGGGTAGGCAGGTTAATGAAACGATTTTATAGCTTGGGCCGTTTATTTGAAATACATAAGGGACAACTAGATAAAAAATCTGGATTCCAGACTAAGAAAAACAATTGATATGGTTTTAAAACAATAATTATAAAAACCGCCAGTGACTGGACATTACTAGTGGACACGTATGAAAATCATTACAGAATACCGGAAGATATCTGTGCCTCGGCGTCCAGACCACACATATTTCTTTATGCAATGTCAATTAAGCGTGTAGTACTAGTAGAACTCACGGTGCCGTGGGAAACGAACATCCATAAAGACCTAGTACTTTGACTTAACCAACGAAATAACTCTGATGATTATTTCGTTGCGTTATATGCCAAGGAAGTGGGTGCGAGGGGTATACCAGGTATATCCCTGTATAACCTGCTTAAAGATCTTGGATCGCCCAGAGCTTCAGTAAGCTCTTTTCTTGAACGAATATCTAAAGTAGCATTGCTAGGCTCGTATCAAATATGGTTAGATAGACAGGGGTAGTGGAGGTGAGCGCTGACGCTTTATAAGGAGTACTCCCTAAACCTAGTCCTGGGTTGCAATTCCCAGGCGCTGTCGCAATCGCACGTATTGCCCCCATCTATTATGCGATGGACCAGGCACCCCGCACGGTGAATGCATGGAACGCTAAAAGGTCTCAGTATAGCGGTATTATTAGACGGATAGCGTTGGCTACAGGTTTTTTGTTTCTGTTTGATTACAACTCAGTCGGGAGACCATTGCGGATACAGACGATATGGTGAAAGGTTAATCACTTTAGTGGTTTCATATCAACTTACCAATTGCTTAAATAATAAGTAATTGAAAAAATGTTGTATAGAAGTATCGGTGATATTGGTTAGGTATACCACAAAGGGTAGGCAGGTTAATGAAACGATTTTATAGCTTGGGCCGTTTATTTGAAATACATAAGGGACAACTAGATAAAAAATCTGGATTCCAGACTAAGAAAAACAATTGATATGGCAACATTATGAATATAATAATGTATGAAAACTTTTTAAAGGCGTTAACAAGTAGGTAGTTATAGTAGATTAGTTAAAAATGTCTAAATTAAAATTTATTATAGAATTACATAGAAAAATGTTTATGATCGTAATTTTTTTTAATACATGGTTTTCGCATAATGGGTCGTGATTGTCCAATATTCTACATTTTGATATTCTTCCTAAACATATTTTCCAGGCAATAATGGCTATAAAAAAATATTATTTGACACGAAAAATACTTTACATTTTTTGAGGAACAACTTGAACAATTATAGATTCATATGTTAGCTAACTTCATGAAACTGTTTTTAAAGAACATCGATTGATACACGAGTTGATTTCATAGCGATAATATATAGTATTGTCTCTATGGTTGATTATAGACAGTTCGGATAATTTTTTAAAACAATGAAACAAGCCTATAATTATGGGATAATTAAGCTTTGGGCACATTGTGTTTTAACAGTTCTTAAAATCTTTCCTTTAATTATTTAAATTATACACACACAAAGTAAACTAAAACCCTTAACATTAATGATATCATGCCTTTTAGTCACAATTACAATAACAGGTGTATATTTTATTATGATACCATAAAGAACATCAATTATTTTTACATCAACGCCGCAGATAAATTAAAAGTAAACACATTTAATTTGTAAATTAAATATGATTCTGCTAAATAAATCTGCGTAAATTGTTCTAGAAGTATGGTATACAAATACACAATACTTTTGGATATATATGAACTCGATAAAAAATAACAACAGGTATAAATACAGTTTCCTCTGATAAATAAGCTTTCCCATGGTTTGTATCAATTGCTTTAGAGTAACTCTCATAGACAAGGCGAAAAAAATGGATTAAATAATTTTAACGTACGTGGTTGTTCAAGCTTGCTATCTCACTATGTTGGCACTATAAGATGGTCTTTATAACATTAATAAACTAATTGTGCCTTTGGAAATGTTTATTTAATGGAATGTATTAGTTTAGGAATATTTGACACTTGCATATCCATTGTCCTTTCCCGCTTCAGCCCTTAAGTTAGATAATGATTTGTTGACGCGACGAACACACTTTTTAGGAACAGTAATTGTTTTCTAATCTAGGCCATGCAACAGCCTGTTACGATTTGAAAACAATTACGAAATTACACTCGAATCCATTACAATTCGAAAAACGATTGTCATCCATAAACGATTTATCTTAAGAGCCATAAACAATAACAATTTCTAAAGTCTGATACAAATGAGTCTGTCACGTCAAAATTATACGAAATAGTTTGATTGCCACACCATAATGGTTACAAACAAATGTGTAATTTTGCTTAATTTTTTTAATTGATTCGTCTATCTAAAGACAAAACGCTAGACTCGTTTTTTTACGATTCTCACTATTCGCTCGCATGCATTTAAAGCTTACCTGTATAAAAACACTTATTCCTGAAGAACAAAAAGCATACATGATCTATTTTAGAAACATCCTAAATATTTTCTCTATGCCAATAATGGCTTGCAATAAATATAATTTAAAATTTAAACTATTGTCAAATTGCAGAAACAAGTACTAAATTCTTAGAATAAAAAATATAATTTAGTAACTCGTCACAACATCTCGTTATTCTCTTAAATGAATAGAAGAATAGATAAATATTTCTGACGTAAGTGCAATTGATTATAGTAATGGGAAAATTAAGAAGGGCACATTCTCCGACGTTCTAGTTCAGTTTCTGGTAACTTTGTTCAAAACATTATTTTGTAACGTTCCTTCGGTCCTTTGAGTACTTATGGAAAATTACATTTGAATTTCGCAAAGCTTATCATGTTCTCAGTATATATTACTGTCTGACTTATATTTATGTTATTATGTTTTATACAAAGTATATAATATCATAAAAATGTTCAGTAGACACGAGTTCTGACTTTCCTTAGGTATTTAGATGTGTACGCATAACATTGATCCGAAAAATGAACAATAACTTAAATAAGTTGGAGAGATGTATTGCTATTATAACTTTAGCACAGTAATACAATTCTTAGGGACACGTATAACATTACTTCACACACGAGATTCATATTCAGAGATTAAAATTTAAATAATATTTTTTAGATTAAACGGTTTTGGTAAATCACCATCCCCAATTACCATCATGTCTCTTCACTACTACCGTATCGGTAGGTATCACCGGCCAGCCACAGTGACAAATTCTATTTACCTACTTTTTATATAATACTCTCACATGGGAGTTGACAGCTGGTGTCGGGAGCGGTCTACGCCTACATCTACTGTTGTTACTTTACCGTCTACAGGTGTACTGCTTTCCACCTCACTATCTGGCATGATTATGCACATAAATGACTTCCCACTCATCACATCTTTGGGGTATATGGTCATAGGAATGAATCTGTCACTCGTGCCGTCCACGTACGCCCCTAACCGCGAATATACTTCTGGAAAATGCTTCTTCAAATTCACTCCTCGACTTTCAAGCTCGTTAGATATATTGTGAAAACATATTTCTCTAAATTTGTGCGCCGTAGCCGCGTTCTTTTCACCAGCATTACTCAATTTAGAAGTGAGAATTAAAGTTTCCCTATCTTCTGGTGTTGATTTACTGTCTCTCCTGTATCGTCTCCTGTTCTGTTCTTGTATTGCAGCAGTTACGGTTTTGCTGAGGCGTAGTTTAGCGCATCTCGACACCATCTGTCGTTCCCATTTGACAGCACCTTTTGTCGGCACTTCACTGATAATACACACAGCCACGTACAAAATTATTCTTGTCTCTGGGTTGTAAGCTTTACACAATTTAACCACTTCCGTGTACAATTCAACTCCCATCTCGTTGGGCTGAAGAGAAGTCCATTTCATGAACTCCGGTTCGCTTATGTGTTGGAAGCCGTGTGTGGTGAACTTTTCAGCCGCCTCAGGGCTCGTGAAGAACACTTTGACGACGCCTCTACCTTGGGCCAGGTACCCCTTATGCGCTATAGTGCTAATTAGATGCAAGGAATCGGCGTCTTCCTTAGCCGCTGATATGATCTGTCTACACAGGGCGCTCGCTCGAGTGTGTAAACAAACTTTTCTGTGCTTCTCCCAATGTGCCCTTCTACATTCTTTTGAGCAATACATTGTGGTGCAGTTGTGGCAAGTCTTGTAGTGTCTTTTGGCATCTGCTAAAGGTGCTCGGGAAGGACATTTTGGATATTTGCACTTGACGAATGCGTCGTCTGTGCTATTTTCTGTTTGTAAAGAAACTAATGAAACTCGGGAATCATGATGATTTAGATGAACGTCAGCAGGGCGAAGTGCTGCGGCGTCGAGACTTGTGCGGCGATCGAGGGATGCGCTTGTTTGGGCGAAGGGCTCACTCCGACGTCGATTGTGACTGTGGTGCTCGCCCTGCGCTGAACGTGGCCGTCTCGACTCTTGCATCGTGGCAGGATTATCAACTGTATTCTTGCCTGCAATTTAGGGTAAAAATATTATTTTTGATTTTTTCATTAGTTTTTTTTTTTTGATGATTTACGAAGAAATAAGCAAAGTAGAGCATGTAAGACTCAGAACCGACGTGCGATAAAAACATTAATTGTTGGCCATATCGACAAACATGCTACGAAGAACACTCATGCCACCATGAATAAATTTTCAAAAACCAAATGACGCCAATCGATATGTACATAAGGTCAAAAATTAGAGACAGATTTAAACATAAGGTAAGTCCTAACAATTTGTGCAAAAGGTGCGGGTAGGTATGACCTAGTTATACATTATGTGAGTAAGGTAATATAAAAATTGGAACGGCTCAGACTTACATATCGTTCCTACCTGGTCGGTCGTGGTCAGGGCTGTCAGTGATGGAGCTTGGCTCCTCGCTGGGGGTGCCGATGAACCTTGAGGCGGGGGACGCGCTGCTGTGCCCGCTACTGGCCAGTTGTTCGTACCGAGGACTCTGAGGACGGATTATTAGGACTGGTAGGATGAGCTGGGATGCGTTTGGCCTGAGTTATTTTTTGCTCCGTATAAAATAAGATGAGTACTTTCGGAAATAATTAATTCGCTTATTCTTAAGTATTAGTGGAGCTGAGAGTATCGAATACATACATACACACATTCACGCGTATGTCCCCGAAGGGCTAGGCAAAAACGTATTAACTATACTATAATTTTATCTATCTAATCTTATTAGATTTTTAAACAAGCAATTCTTGTATAAATATAATCTAAATCACGGCAACGGCTCCAAACGATTTTCATTAAATTTAGTATGCAGCGGGTTTCGAGGGTTATTAATCGATCTAGCTAGGGTTAATTTTTAGAAAATTTACCAAAAAAAAATACCAAGCAAAGCTCGGTCATCCAGGTACTGACTTTTTTAACAGAATTTGCAAATAGCAAAATCAATTTCAAATATTTGGCGAAGGACGTAAGTTTACGTAGTTTCAAAAGTCGCTTTAAAAGAGACTATATGTTGTATATTGTTGTATTGTATTCAGTTGAGAGAAGTGATATTATATTATTTAAAATGTTTTAGTTCAAAAATAACAAATAGATTACGTATAAGTACCTTGCCACCCATGAAATAATAAGGGCTTGTAGCCTTCCTAGGGCTGGGCTGAGGCGTGGGTATTCTGGCCGGCTGCGACGGCAAGCCCAAGAGGGAGTCCAGCACGTCCTCAAGAGTAGTGGAGCCAGGAGACGGCCGCGTGATACCTAAGTTCAAGGAGCGTTGGGACTCTTGCCAGTCTGGAAGTCGGCATTCAATGAAGAAGATTAGAATGGATAAAGGATAGGTGTAGTTCGACCTCATGAAGACCACACAAAAAGGTAGTAAGTGGCTTCAGTACGAGTATATATTGAGTAGCCTACTTTGATACCATCTTACCTTGTTTTTATTCCATTGTATACCGTGCATGAAAACAATCTTAAAAAATATCACAATAATGTTGTTTTGTATTTTTTTTTTATGGAACAGGGGGCAAACGAGCAGACGGGTCACCTGATGGAAAGCGACTACCGCCGCCCATGAACGCCTACAACTCAGGAGTCACAAAAGCGTTGCCGGATGGCCCTTGAAGGGTTGAACTAGTTAGTTGACAGTTTTTAGTTTCATAATCTATGACGACGTCAAGATTCCATTTTCAGATATTACGGTCCCCAAGGAGTGTACTAATTTATTTTTGAAAATAATATTAAGGTGCTATAAATTAGTCACAAAAAGCGTTTTGAATTTTGTAAATCGGTGTCACTAAAATAGCTTCAAAGCAAAAAAGAAAACTTAAAACACATTCACCAAAAATAAAAATAAAACAAAACCTTTAAAATAAAAATGAATATATTTAATAATCATTATGGTTAAAATGTAATTAAAAGTACAATAAATTGAAATGATAAAGAAGACAATATCTTGTAGTCTTCAATAACATAAACAAGGTACCGAGATTCTTACATACACATATTATTAGCCTATAACTACGTTTTGATATAATTATTACATTTTCTTTTAGGTACTGTTTATTTGGAATTTAATAGACTGTAGAGAGCAACAGTAAACACTAAGTAATATAATTAAATGTACTGAAATTGGCGCTATTTTTTTTGTTTTAATTAAAGAGAGAAGAGAGAATTAAATTCTAGGCGCCATCTTGTAATCTGTCATAGACAATATGTATATATATTTTCTTTTCTTTGTATAACTTAAGTCGTCTAGTTCGCTTTCGTAGTTCGACGGTGCGAATTTTGGACGCAATATTGATGCTGTTATTTTTCTAACCTAATCAGAACCTGTATAATTTACTTAGGGGTGGAACCCCAACATAAATTACGAGGTGATTTAAGTAGAAGGAACTTGAAATTTTAAAGATTTCAGACTTATACCGTCACTTCTCACCACCACATTATGTTATGGTTCTGATAACTGTTGGTAATACTCTAAATTTATGTAGGTATAAATTAATACGTGAACATAATAGATTGTTCTACGTCATTTAAATATTTTGTGACATTAATTAAAGCTTGTAATTACGAAATTAGAACAGAAGTGTAGGCATTCAGTTTTGAAAACAGATAAAATTAGCACCTAAAATAAAACATAGCAACATAATATTTTATTTACACCACTATTTATATCAACTAGCCATTACACTAATTACTAGAGAATTTGCTTTAAAATAAACAAAATAATTTAATCTGTACATCGGACGAAATTATTACTAATAGAAAAATTACTGGTTCGTGTCAAATTACTATTGAAATTAAAATTATGGCAATATCTAAAAACAAAAATAATCTTAACTATGACTATTTTATTTATAATCATATATAATATTTAATTTAGGTATCAGAATTGTTAATTTAACCTTTATTTTCGTAACAATAATAAAAATATAATTGAAATGTCTAACAGAAATGCATCAATAGTAAACATTGCATTGTAAAACGTTCGTAACTTCTATCATGACGGTATTATATAAAAAATTAACTAAGCGGGTATTGTCATATTTGGAGTTGGCAACATTTATTTACCTTTTAAAATATGTTATTAGCCACTTCCGAGACTCACCGCTAAGTCCAATAATATAAAGCTGCGAGTGACAAACACATAAATTAAAATTAAGCATCTACAAGCATGTGCTTTATTTCACAATGCAAAAAATAAAAACACTTGTACACAATATAATTGATATTGGGAGTCAAAAATAGTGCATATATTGACACAAATAATATTAATAATATGATAATGGTCCTGAGTCTTACACACAGTCTATAAAGCTCTATTACACATAGATTTTTACAAAATGATATCGTTCAGATTAACGTGAACGAGTTCATTTCACAAATAACTAAATACACAGAACAGCACAATATTAACACACAGAGTATTAACGTAATATAATAATAATTAACAAAGTGTAAACACTGCAGGTTCGAACTCTTAAAACATAAATGCAAATTTCATGATTTTTCGCAACCGTCATGTGTCTAATGACGTTTTTATCCAATATGCTTTTTAAAAAAATCACGCGATGCGTTGGTCGTGTCGAAATTTTCGGTAGGCACCACGTACAAAGGTGCTTTTAGACGGGAATGTGTCGTTAGTTAGGTGTGGAACCTGCAGTGTAAACCGAGGCGGTCACGCTCGCTCACCGGGCGCCGCGCGGTGGTCGAGGCGCAGCGACGACGGCGGCCGAGGGTGCGGCGGCGGCAGCGCCTCCGACACCACCAGCGGCGTCTGCGGGGACTCTAACGGCTTTGTACCTGGAATATGCGAACCATTCATTAGGTTTTAACATAAACAAGCGTAATATCGCCTGAAACCTGTAAATTAAAAAAAAGTTCAACTGTGATTCGTCCACATATTCAAGATCTTTGAGAGGTATTGGCCTTACTTTAACTCGAGTTAAAGTAACAAATTGTTAGCAAGGATTCTCATTTGGTAAAGTCGACTTACCAACAAAGGAGCTTTCGAGCCAGTAAAGTTTTTGGCTGGACCGCGGCGAGGGTTGTCTATCGATGTCACCATTGGCAGGCTCTAACCCTGACACGTAGTGCACGATGGCTGAAGTAACCTCTTTGATCGAGGTTTGGATCTCCTCAGACGCTCTTGACGCTTCCGATGCTTCTGATTTTGGAGTTGACTGAAGTAGAGATGATGCTAGTCTATAAAAATAAGATGAGCGCCTTAAGTGGATGTCTTGTAGTATTTAGACCCGTCGATCTGAAGAACGAGTTATAGGGGAGACTAGAAAGGCTTTGTAAAAATAAATTAAATGTCGCCGGAATCAAACAATACTGGCTTTTATTTTTTGACATTTGACAAGTAGAAACTACGCCATTACTAAAAATGGAACGATACACACTTCAACAACGCATTGAAATTATTAAAATTCACTACAAAAATGGTGAAAATCTTGCAGTCACAGTTCGCAAAACTAAAGCATTTTTTGGTCGTCGTGAAGCACCTTGTCGGACCGCAATACAGAAATTGGTGGAAAAATTCGAGCTGTTGGGACAAGTTAGTGATGTGAAGAATAAAACCCGTGCACGTCGCTCAAGAACAACTGAGAATATTGCTGCTGTAGCCCAAAGTGTTCAAGAAAACGCAGGTTTGTCCATTCCTCGTCGTTCTTTGGAATTGGGCATTCCACAAACGTCATTACACCGTATTTTGCATAAAGACTTGGGTCTTAAGGCTTATAAAGTTCAGTTAACACGAGAACTCAAGCCAGCCGATCATCAACAACGTCGTGTCTTTGCTGATTGGGTACTTGAAATGCATGAAAATGATCCGGAATTCCATCGAAAAATCATCTTGACTGATGAGGTCCATTTCCACCTAGTAGGCTACGTCAACAAGCAAAATTGTCGCATCTGGGGCTCGGAAAACCCAAGAGTTATTGTTGAGAAGCCTCTCCATCCTCAACGTGTGACTGTTTGGTGCGGTTTATGGTCCGGCGGGGTCATTGGACCTCACTTTTTCGAAAATGAGGTTGGATCAACACTTACGGTGAATGGATTGCGCTATCGAGATATGATTAATGATTTTTTATGGCCTTAGTTGGATGGTATTGATCTGGACAACGTTTACTTTCAACAAGACGGCGCTCCGTGCCACACAAGCAACGAAACCATTGCTTTTTTACGGGAAAAGTTTCCTGACCGTGTTATCTCTCGAAGAGGTGATCACAATTGGCCACCGAGATCTTGTGATTTAACACCTTTCGACTTCTTCCTTTGGGGCCACGTGAAAGATAAGGTCTACGCCAACAGCCCAGCGTCGATTCAAGACCTCAAAGATGGAATTCGTGAGGCTATCGAGGACATAGGGCAGCCACTTTATCTTAAAAAATTGCATTTTTCTTTGAATACTAAAATAACACCTCTTATTGGAAAACCCTTTATGTCAACCAGAATCATGAGGATGGGGACAATATCTATTTATTGAGTATTGGCACCAGGGAGACCGCTCTATGGCATCGTGGATACTAATTGTCGCTGGTGATGCAAGAACATTTTTTATGTGACTATATAAGACCAAAATATTTTTTATCTTTATTACCATCTGCGGAAAACATAAAAAACACAGATAGAATTTAAGTAATCACTTTAGCTCACCTCTCATGTGGAGTCCGTGGCGTGCTGTTCAGCCGCTCCTGACTTCTCCAGCCGAGGTACGGCTGGCGCGCGCTGAATGAGGAACGCGCTGAGGGTGAACAAAGGGGACTGGTACCTCTGATGCTGCTTCGAGTCGACGAGCACGGTGATGTCTGCAATAATAGTCATAAGAATCAGAATCAGATTGTCTTACTACTAAGTTCTAAAATATGTTTTTTGTCTTATAAAAATGGCGTTATGCACCAACTTTAACACGCCAAACTTGTGTATTTAAATTGTTTGATTCATTGATTTTTTTATTTATCATTAATATAAACAAAATAGGTACATATTTTCAATTACAAAACTCTGCAAAACCATTCTGATAGTTTGACTGATGCAATGTAAATGTTATGTATGTGTATGTTTGTTTGAAAGGTGAATTAGTTAGAATTGTTCTTAGCTATGTTTGATGAAAATAGGTCCAAGATGGCCGCCGCCACAAAATGGCGGATTATATGTATATATATTCACAATGAATACTATACACTATGACAATTTCCGGGGGTTTTTAAATTTATAATTTACATCTCAAATTATAAAACGTACTATGTACTACAAAAATAATAATGAGTTCTATCATCATGCTACTATTCTAAACTTACTTTTTAAGAATCTAATAAAACGGTAGCTTATTTTTTTCTTAATTAATCTTTTACTAATAATTTTTCTTAATCCGAAGCTTACTAAAGTTTAATTGTTTTTAACACAAACATATACCATTCCATTTCCAAGAAGTATTTATTAGTCGGTTAATAATTCTTAGCAGAACAGACTCTACGTCGTGTGACGTATCCTAAGTCGAAAATTGAAGTCGACTAATTCAGTTACGTAGATTATGATAGCTTTCCACGCTTTAAAAAGAAACAGTACTTTTTATTACTAGACTATTCGACATATATAGTGTCCTTCTATTTTGTAATTCATGAATTTAGTTAATTTAATAAAATAAAAAGGAACACCCGAAGAAGTAGTATTAATTTTAAAAATAAATTTTCATTCTTTTCATATTTATTGTAATTTTATACTTAATTAAGTTATTTCAACATCCAAGCTAGTGTTCTTCAATGATGTTTATGTCTACATTTGATTGATAAAACATTTAATGTAAAATCTTTGCGATGCATATGCGATGCGATAATCTTAAAAGGTTTTTAGGTACACAAGGTAAAAGATACCTGAAAATATTTGTACCTACCAAGGTAAACAGTCACAATAGGCGTTTCTTATTTAATTCAGCGATTAATTAACAAAAAACCAACATCACAATTATTTCCCCATTTAATTTGGTAGGAACTTGAGAGACGCTTCATTAACCTCAAAAGTTTCCTCGAAGATTGTTAACTAGGGGTCATTTTACGGTCGATTGGCGAGTCATCATTTACATTCAAACAACACAATATCAGTACAATGGAGGTTGTTTACATAACAAGTATATCGCATCGCTGAATGAACCGAACTCGGAAACAACTCCAGAAGCCGTATGATTGAAGCCACTGGTCAAGTACTGTACGCTTGGAAGAATGTTAAAAAGAAGTAGATTAAAGTTAAGATGCCTACAGTCAGTTTACTAGGTACTATTGTCTTTGTTTCGGGTACTCCCCATAGCAGGGCGCCTGAGACCGGCTGTCGGGGTGGTTTTTAGTGGAAACACATAACACTTACTCCTGGCTCCTATGTCCTCGAGGAGACGGAGATCCGAAGGGATTTTCTACTCCGTCAACAAAAATAAAAGGTACTTTTGTGCTTCAAAGCGCAAAAAAAAACAAAACTTTCTTTAACTTTTTTATGTACAACATCTTTCCTCTCGTTTTTCTGTAATCTGTGCGAGCGATTTCGTGAAACGGGACGGAAGTGTGTAACAGGAAGTCAAGGAAGCGCGCGTTGTTTGATTTGACCAGTAAACGCGCGCAGTGCTAGAGTTGATTGTTGGATGGTAGGCGAGATGGCATGTGTGAGATACATATATATAGGTATATGACAATTGTGACAATTGTGATATAAATATATGTAATATTTTAAACTTTGAGTTTTTCTATTTTGTTCTAAATCAAAGTACCATATAGTTAGGCCACATATTAGATTTTTTGTTAAGGTTTGTATTTTGATTTGTATAGCTCCTTGTTTACATGGTTAGGAAACCGAACTCAACTTATGATGTAGATGTTATACTTTTAATTCAATTCATACGTCAACAATACTCACTTGATTGGAATTAAGCCGACTAGTGGACCACCGTCCAAAGCTCGTGGTGTGCGGGCTAAGTTGCGGTGGGGGTGGTTGCACATTCCCCCCAAGACTACCCAGTGACGTGGTCTTCGAGTTAAGACCACTCCAGCGCCCCGCCGAGGCGGATGCGTCAGACAATCGCTTGCGTAGAAGGAAACCTTCCCGCGGCGCAGGCGCGTTCTTGTACCTGGAATATAATTTTGTTTAATAATGTGTGATCGATATTCTAAAACAATGCAGATGATCATTAAGGACCATCAAAAAATACTTAAGGAGTTGATGATACTAAATTTTTAATTAGATTTATTAATCCTGGCAACTTAGTTCGGAAAGGCTAACGAGAATATTAGTAATATGAAATATAAATTGACCATGCCTACAGACAATATAAAAACCAACTATGTACTATACACAGATTTTATTAGGCTAAGTTAACATGAATGTATACCTGGCGGGTTTAGTAGCCCAATGGAGTAAGATGGTTTCTTAATATTATTGAAATATCTATATATATAAAAGAAAGTCTTGTTAGTTACACTATTTATAACCCAAGAACGGCTTAACCGATTTGGCTGAAAATTGGTGGGGAGGTAGCTTAGAACCAGAAGACTGACATAGGATACGTTTTGACATTTCTTTTTACTTTTTTTTTACAAAGTTGTGATCAGAGCGGATAAACGACCTTCTGGGATACACAAACGCACATTTAACGCTCCAACAATAGATGAAGTTGCCATCCTGATTGTTGGTGAAAACTTGGCAACACGCGATATTTTGCTTAGACGTCGTTGCCTCTAAGGCGGAACAAAGTTCGCCGGGTCAGCTAGTAATACAATAAAATAGAAGCATAAAGATGTAACCGATTTTTTTAAAATCAAAAAGTAATTTCATAGCCATCTGTCTTCAAAACTGATTTCATTAGTTAATACATTTTACTGGTTGTACTCAAATATTATACAAATATATGTATCATCAAACAGCATTGGTAGATAATTTCGTTATATCATTCATGCCAAGGTTTATTAGTCGCCCTTTGCTAAAGAAAGCAATTCCAGAATTGAGTGGCTGCAAGATAGATTATTACGATTCTATTCATAAATTTAATTGAATCAATCATTCTTTTGAAGCACCTCGGTAGCTACTACCTAATTAAATTGAAATAATTAACTTAGTTTTTTACAATCCCTATGTTCAAATAGCCAATACAATCGCCTTTTAATAGACAGAAGAGAAACCGAAGACCGTATAATATAAAGTAGTACAAGATTAAAAAACATCAAATAGAGCTACTTTATTTACTTAAAACTTTAATTTATCGGACAGAAAGCGGCAATGTCGCATCTCGGAATATCGAATTTTGTACTAGAGGCCAAAAACTATTTAAAATTTTAAAACAAACAAAACATAACATAAAAAGTTTAAATGCTGCTGCAATTAAAATATACCTATAATAGGAAAATAAGACTTAGGTAGACCATTCGACGAGGCTTTTTGTCGCGAATAATTACATGTTAATAAGTTTTAAGTTCAGGCCAATTTTCGAGATACAAAATTTCTGTTTCTTTGCGGTCGAAGACAGCATAAACCTACAAAAATTGGATAACTTGTTTCTACCAAAAGTAAATCGTATATTTTTTTTGATTTCAAACATAACTTCATACAAACCCGCTTATCACACCTGTATGCATTTAATTGTTAGAATTTTTCCTTTCGTTTCTTTAAAAGCATTATTTGGGTCAGCTTTTTATCTAATACATTAGTTTTCGAGTACTTAGTAAGCTTTAACATTTTTTTCGAAGTACATAAACAAGGTCATATTAAATCCGTATCGTAATAAAGTTTTAGGCGCATCGCAGTCTCTTCTGTGTTTCTTCGAAGATCTTTCTTAGGTTTGTTACCTACGTACTCTTGTCATTTATGGACTAATTTGGCAAATTCTTTTTTTTACTTGGGATAGCCTCCCATTCAAATTTGAAAACAAAATACTTCCTGTATAGTCCCATTCAAATTTGAAAACAAAATACCACCCCTAAAAGTGGAAAATTAAATAAAAAAGAATGTAGTTAATTAACAATTCAACATAATGTAGGGGTATAATCGTAGAAGTTGATAATTTCATAATCCGTTTAGTAACATCGGTATAATGTGTAGAACAGTATAATGGTCTAAATGAATTATATATGTCATATGAAAGGTTGTGGCCTGGTCGAGTGCTAAAGGTTATTTCTAGAAATTTCTATAAAATAATTCACGGAATTTCATTAAGCGATTCGATGAAAGAAAAAGGCAAAGCGGATATTGCAACTGTGGCTGTAGCTTTAGAAATTTAAATTAAGTAATAAAATGTATTCAGGCAACCGACCTGACTAGATTGTAAATTTCCGACTGGCGCTATAAAGAGTATAATACTGAATAGCGTGGAGTAAAGGGTATGTATAAAGTCGTAAAACCACCAATCTACGTGAGTGTTTGTACTGTATACGTACATTTATTTAATATTTAACTTAAAAGACAGACAGAAGATCCTGTAGACATAATGAGAACGTGCATTAATATCTTCTTTAGGTACGGTATAAGTTGAGAGTTAAGAAGATGTTGAGTTAGAAGGATCAGAAGCCTCGGCAATAGATAGTTCGAATTACAATCCATTAATATAAGCAATATCCATTTACTTCCATAACCTTCTCTTCTTGCCTACTTTCTTCTTTTCAGTTTCGTTTTAAATTTCAAAGCTCCCGGTTGTTGGCCCGTTACGTAAGCGGGACTAAATTATGTTTGGAAAAATGTCTACTCCTTAAATGGGTGTACGTATGTTCTAAAATTATTGCGTTATTTTTCTTCAATTACTACGTATTTTAATTAAATATACATTTTATAAATGTTAGTTTCTGTTCTACGCACACTAAAAATTATAAAGACCAGTGAAGAATTCAGATATTTGACAAAGCATTAGCCTCGTAGATGGTTCTGGCTGCTAAGTGGTACTACTCGTAAGTCCAGCTTAACAAGATGTAATTAGGCCATTGTTAATGAGAATAAAACACGACGGTTGTTTGATTAGCGGTAGCATGGGAGACAATTATGAAGATCATACATGGCTTATGTAAGCATATGACACTATTTATATTTATGTATATTAGTTGTAATGTTATATCTACAGTAATTCTTAGAAAGCTAGATAGAATAGCTTTCTAAGAATTACGTGCAGTTAGAATAGATGTGTCGAGGGATGATGTCCGTGTGGTGACGGATTACGAATACGGAGTGTCAGAATCACCATGCCTATTTTTCCCATGGGTGTCGTAAGAGCCAACTAAGGGAGCAAACTACGCAGCACTGCAAAGAGAAGGACAACTTGACACAAACCCTATACCAACTCGTCTGGCCAGCGTGCCCAAACCCTACTTTCTAAGGTGAGGCCTACGTCAAGCAGTGGACTATTAGAGGCTGTAACGATGATAATGATGTGTCGAGGGAGACAAAACTATAAAATGTATTTTGGCTATAAACTATAAAATGTATTGTTGTCTACATATAGCACTGAAGTATTAAGTATATATATAACCAAACTATTACACATCTATTCACAATCTAACTGGTAGGATGTAAACTAATTTCTGTCAGAAAATAACTAAGCTGAAATTCTTTTTTCACCTTTATAATATAATGAATACATACACACACAATTTTATATAAGTACATATATGTACATACGTAAAGGCTTATTACAATTTATTACATTTGCGTTTAGAAGTCAGTGATATAGAAAAGTAAGAAGTATTATATTTTTTACATGTCTGGAAACTTGGTAATTTAAATACACTTTAAAAGTTAGTGATACCATCTCGCTCGATGAGCTTTTATATAAGTTAAGACTAACTTTACTAGAACTTGGAACGTGACGAAATAAATCATGATATACTTTATCGAACGCCTTTCCTAAAACCTTGACATAATTGTTAGTGAAGCGAGACGTCGCTAACCTTAAATATTTTTAGTGGTCTCGAGAAAAATCTTATAGTGGTAACTATAACATCTAATGGGGTTAGAACTTACCATTCTGGCACATTGAGTTTCTGCAACGATCTCTGAACTCGCAACTCGTGCTCCGATAGCACGCGGTCTGAATTTTTCTGCAGTTCGTTCTCTGGAGGCTGCAAAAAACCATTCTATGAATATTATACTCAAAAGTAACTGTTATTTTTGATTAATAAAAAACTGGCTGGCTGGTTATTTAAATGCGCGCATAGTTGTAACAAAAACTACTGTAGTTTCACTTCAATCATGATCTATTACAATAAATAATAAAGTTGTGGCAAACATTTTTTTAAATAAAAATTCAAAAAGTAAAGAAATAAGCATTTATTTGAAAAAGTTTATAAAAGAACAAACATTTAAGTTACCTACTTGTTGATACAGTATTTATTCTTACATCATCGATAGAGTTAGGAGCTAAACGGTACATTGTGCCAAAAAATAGAAAATCTCTTTGTGTTTCTTTCAGTAACTGATCTTCAGTTTCAGTCAGATCTTTCATTGAGGAGGAGTCCAACATTTGCTCGCCTTGATGTTTGAGAGTTTGATGTATTTTGTATATTGCAAACCTTGCGTAGTAGCCCTCTTCATCAATGACATCCCCATCTTCAAAGTCTTCTATTTTTGAATCCATATGTGATTGACTAACAACTTTTTCAATTGCACCTGATGATGCATTGCTAGTTACATCACTGTAGTTTACATCACATGCCTGCAGTATTTCAGACCATGATGGGATCGTATCTGGACTGCACTGACTGTCTATGTCTAGATTGTCGAACTTATCATTTCGCGGCAAAATACCAATATCATTGGAGGGCGGCATTAACAGATCAGATATACCATATATAGAATCATACCAAGATTCATCACTTTCGAATTCAATTTCAGATTTGTTAAGATTGAAATTCACTTTTTTTTTCGACTTCTTTAGAGTGGAGGTTGCTCCTATTACGGCTTCTTCTTTTGGTATTTGCTGCAGCTTATTATTTTCGAAGTCTTCATATGCAGGTAAATCAAAATCATAACTTTGTTTTGCCGGTTCTATTGAACTTAAACTTATATCTCTGGATGGTTGTAAATCTTCTATTGGTGGAGGAGGTACACTTGCTTGTAAACGTTTAAGAAAATTCAGTACTCTCTCGTCATTGTCTGTTGGAGAAGTTATTTTGTTATTAGAAGGTGGAACCTGCTTGCATCGATTTTCCTCCAAAGATGGAATTCTTCTCGTATCATTATTGAGGGAGCTACTTCGGTTTGATCTTGAACCGCTGCAGCTTAAGTAGGATTGGCTTGAATTACGTCGTTGTACTTCGTGTTTCCTTAAGCAAATTTTAACTTTCCACTCTTTATGTTTACTTTTAAATCCATTAAGGCTCAAAGAATTCTCGTCCTCTGATTCACTTCTTGGTATATCAGGATGCTTCGCGTAGTAAATATCTCGTGAAAGCGGTTTTGCAAACATATGTTCGTATTTAATATCTTCGAACGGTTCCAATTCTTCCACGGTCCATATTGTGTCCAGACAATACCAAAACTGATTCCTCTCCAGCACTTCCTCAGTTGTCAGAAGCACTATTGACACCATAATTCCAATAGCACTGTACAAGCAGAACTTTCGGATAAGACTGATTTCCATTTTCTAAAATCAGTTTAGGAGTCGGTTTAAGTGCAAACATTGTTAGCTTAACTGTTTTGTTTTTAAGAAAACACCGTAATTATTTAAGCACCAGGTAATTACTGTAATTAGTTAATGTTCATAGAAGGATTACAATTAAAAAAAAACATATAAGTTACCATTACGCTAATTACACTTTTATACCAAACATTTGAGTTACTACTTACTACGCTAATCACTAATAACACAAGTTAAATTTTATCACGAGTACCAGAGCTCAACTTCTACTTATTCCCAAAGTGGTTTTATTATTTTGTGAAATTAAAGTTGGTTTAAATAAATTATCTAATTTAAAAATCTAATTTTATTGTTTTTTGTTTGGTCCCTAATTTAGGAAAATAAGTCATGTGATTATAAAAGTCAGTTGAGCCTTGGATCCGGCAGTAAATTGTATGCTATTTCGGCAAAATATAGGTAAATATTAGTGAAAATATTTGCGGGATAATCCAAATATGGTAAGGTAGGTTCCTTGGGGTACAGAACTCACCCTGACATCAGACGAGGCGAGGAGCGCGCATGGGCCCAGAAGTCCTACGCTTTCCCAGCAAGTCATGTCCACTATCTGTTCACTCACGAGTCGCGACAAGTGCCCGCTCAACTCCACACTCGTATACTAAACTTACTATCGCATTGTGATGCACCAGTGACTCCGTTATACTTAGTTACGTAAGTCATATCACATTCAATGTGATACCATTTTTTGTTTGGACACATACAAAGCAGCTAAACATAAAGCTACGAGATTCTCAGAGGATGTGAAATAAGCAAGCTGTAATATCGAAGCGGAAAGCGTTCGCCAATCAAATCAGAATAACGTTGCTTATCGAACGATAAAATCCAATTACAAGACTGAATCGGAGCGACCGCGGGGCTTCCGAGCTTAAGGTCGCTCTGCGGGCCGGTGCCGGAACTGAGGCTGGGTCTGGCATGCGGCGTTCGGGTCGGACTTACGCGTAGGCCACTGCGGCACTTCGCATAGTAGGACATAGGAGTAATGTCCGTGATGGCAGGCGGCCGCGGCGCTGCCACCCGCCAGACTGAGGCGCGGCGAGTGTCCTTGGCCAGCGCGCATGCTCTGTTCACACACCCTTACTATCAGATTCTCCTGGTTTCAACAATTATTCCATTACAATGACACATTTCTTCGCTTTTTTGATTTCCGCCTAATTAGAGATGAGGTATCTATTTCGAGAACAGCGGCGAGGTAAATGTTTGAGACTGTAGCCTCGAAAATACATTGCTGACTTAAGGTCTTATTTCATTTTATGAATTGGTTTCGACGGAGCGATGGACAGTGTCATATCGATAAGCTTGTCGTACTCAAACAGCTGATGCGAACCTGTTCTACGTTTGTTGAAATGCTCCACTTCACTCATTTGTTTGGATGTGGGTGTGGCATATCGTGACAGGTTGAACTTTGTTAAAAGGGAAGTCGAGGACTCCTTGAGCATAAAGTTTTATATAATACCACGATAAGAATAATAAAAGAATCGATCTTAGTATTTTTAGACGACCTTTGTGGTACTTGAATTATTAACAAGAAAACAAATCGTTTATGTCTGGAGACAGTTAAAGACTAGTAGTAAGCATTACTATTTTATAAATAGCAGAACATCTTTTTTTTTGATACCGATACCATACGATTACCAAGAAGACTGCCGATAAGACGTTGGCACTTTTAGATTTTTTTTGGGTTAGCAGCTTAAGTTTTGTAAGATTTTTAAAACAAATAACTGGATAAAAGTATTGTTGTTGTTGTTGTATTTACATACAACATAAAAATAACAAAACCAATAAAAACAAATAAACGATTTTGTTTTCTAAACGATTTGTCTTTATATTGTTTATATTTTTTAAGCACGGCGTATTAACACATTATAATTTGAATTCATTATGTTAAAGTCATTGACAACTTTTTCAATACCTGATGTTTTAGTTCTATAATATTTTACAATAAAATACATCACCAAGAGGATTTTGTGATCGTATTTGTGGCGCCCAACTGGGACGGTAGTGTAGTAACTCCAGTGAATCACTTGACCTGCATAAAAACCCCTTCCATCACAACAATACCGAAAATCGCTTACCATCAATGTAGCGTATTAAAAAACTACTGAATATGGAACTTCCTTTTTCAAGTCGGTTTAATACTTAGCATGCAAAACTGTGTACACAGGTATAGAAACGCGTTTCACTCAATTCCTTCCCTTGATTGAGACAAATCGCACAGGACGAGTTGCAATTGGAACATTAGGTTCTTGTAACTTCAGGATGCTCATAGTGGTTGCTATAGGGGAAGATCACTTTGTGTTTCCCGTGGAATTGAGGGCGGATAGCACAAATTACATGTAGGCGTTCTATTCAAAACGAGTAATTGAGGAGCAGGATACTAAGGTAGACTAGTTACTGGATGTACTGTGTCAAATCATTTATCTATAAATATTATACCTACTCGTGAGTAGTGACGTCAAACATTATTCCGTAGATTTTTATCTTTGACACATTGGCAGAGCAACGTGAACTCTCTCAATGAAGCGCACAGATTCTTAAAAGGATGCGCTCTGACTAACTCTGCTAACGTTTGATTATGAAAGGCATCTAGACTGACACCTACTCCTACCTACTCACTTGACCCTAATATAAATCAGTATTTAATGTATATATATATTTATTTCAGTACTATACATTTATCTTTATATTGACTAGTTTCTATCCTAGACCGTTGTCTATGACAGAAACTAGTCCCATGGAACAGAACGGTGGATGTGATCTTACTAAAATTTTTGATTTTTTCAGAGCAGGGAATATGGTCTGGCACAGAACTCCGTTAGAATCGATATGTTGCCCTGGTGGGAACGGCCAGACAGACAGGAAGTTTTTTTTATGTTAGAGGGGGCAGACGAGCAGACGGGTCACCTGATGGAAGTTGACCATCGCCGCTTGTGAACGTCTGCAACTCAGGATTCACAAACGCGTTCACACAGTATACATATGATTATAATTCTATTTTGCGTTTAATACACATGTATGTTAACAATGGAGTTCACTAATGTCAAATTTAAAATACTGAACGTAAACTTCATGTATATGAGTTAGTTTTATGCATAACATCACGACAGAATGCAAATTTTTATAACAATATTGTACAGAACAATTAGTTTTCTACATGCCACGGCATTATTATTATTACCGTTCATTCATTATGAAGGAATGTGAAACAAAAACTGAAGTGAATTTGAAAAGCTTCATTATTATAGTTTCACGCTTGCGACAAGTCTGAAAGACAATGCTGCATTGCGTTTGCAAAAAGTCTAGGTTTATTTACCAAGGGGTAGTACTTAACTTAGAACAGCGAATTTATTATACTAGCTATTGAACGCGGCTTCGCTCGCATGTTTGTTTCTTATATCGTGTTTCTAACTTTGAAAATGACGAATCTCTATACAAAAAAAAAATTGAATGATAACGAAACACTGATGTATCAGTCAATCAGTCAGGGTAATTAATTTTACGTGTATAGACACCACGACAGTTTAAGGCTAATTAAAATCTGGTAACCATAAAAAATTTTTACAACAGCAACATTCTTTACGTGTCTTAAGCGCACCCATAAAAGTTGCATTAATTATCGTTGTATCATCATATTATACTGTTATATGCGTGCTATGGGATCATGTACACGTACGTAAGGCGCCGAGGCAAAGGCATTTATCGAGTTCTGCCTACGTGTTAATGACCACACATTTGCGTCTTCCTCTCGCTAATGGATGTTGTGTTGCTCCTAATTTAAAGTTACTCGAGATTCTTTACCTCGCACCTCACTCGCCTTGTTATTTTAGCATATTAGCGTCGTAAAAGTCATGTAAAACAAAAATTAGGTCAGACGACGTCTCGACAGACAAGGGTTAGTTTGGAAATTGCTATGGGCTTTGGAATTCTCTGGGGCGTCGTTGGGTGATAAAAGAGCGAAAGATAGTGTTTGTTCTACAAAGAAAAAACTAGAAAAAATAATATTACTATATTTATGTACATTGTTATACGTAAGGTCTTAGATAAAAAAATACTGCAATAAAACTCGCGTCAAACTGGCCATTGAGATAACACTCAAAACTTTTAAAATTTGACAGCCAGTCGAACTCTAGTTAGTATAAATGTATCTACAATTGTACTCAAGTGTATATTTTGGGGATATTCTACTAAATTTATAGATTAAGATAAAAACTATCATTTAGCAAAAACTAGTAGGTAAATGACATGCAGAGATTTACCTTATTAACTTCCCAGAGCTATACATAGTTAACACACCATTATCCCATAAACACGTTTGTGATTAGTTCCTACGTAACCTCAATATTGCGGAGATGCATCGAATAACGCTATGTATGCGGTATTTCCCGCTCATCGCCATATTGAATTAGACTTTAATATTCATTAACACATTTATTAATGAACGAGTTTGCAAATATTAGCAATTCGATGTTTAAATTTATTTAAAAAAATCTGTGTTGATAGCTTTCACTGATGATTATAGTTCATATTTGTATCTACTCCCACTGGTTTCGTTTGGTCAAGACACGTCGTGTTAACCAAACATTAACTGCGGTATTATTGAACAATTCCACAAATGAAATTCCCCGTTTAAAATAAGATCCCCGAAGATCCCCGTTTAAAATACCTGCCTAAGTATGAAAGCGGTCCTAAAATGTCAAGTAGCTCAAGTGCTATAAGAGGCAAAGGGTAAAGTGCACGAATATTTAACTTGACCTTCGACGAGAGGGGAATGCCGTGAACTCCACTTACACTGGAGAGCTCTTCGTTTACTTCAAAGATATTCTAATAGCAGGTATTATCACCGTAGGCAATACTTTTTTCGAGTTTTTTACTGTCATGTCTATATTTATAGAAAAAAGGTTTTCTATTACAGCGTGGGATTATCGGTGCGGTAAATTATTAAAATCATGTAGTTTAACGACATTACGATATCTCTTTTTATTTTTTTTAGAACTTGAGACATCTGAAACACGGCCATTTGATTTCCAAACTAGGCAGAGCCTGTAGTATGGTAACCAGAATGCTGATAAACACACTTATAAATGTTACTAAATACAGAGATATAGATAAATGACACCCACACACAAAACAAATGATCGTACTCACCGTCCAATAATTTGTAATTGGTGGGATTCGAATCTCTCCTCAGGATCAGGGTTACATAAGATTACATAACATTTTAGATGACCTCGTTAACTTGGGAGCAAATGTATTTTATATTCTAGGCATGGGTAAATTTTTACTCTACTCTTGCCATCAGTGGGGGATCATCATCAAATAAATTGCACACGACTTTTTTTCATACAGTGTGGTTCCAAGTCAGTTAATAAACTTGCTATACTTTCATAGATTTGTTGGATTTTCTGAATTTAAACTTATTAGTCGTGAGGACTGAGGAGTAACCAACCACAACCTTTACTACTTAGCACCAAATCGCAAGCTAAATCCCTTTAAAAACCTTTGAACTCAATGAACTTAAACCCTCAAACTCAAAACTTCATC